AACCCTCAGTTTGTTTCCTGAGATTAAGAATTCCTCCTATCAGTGAGGTCATAGGATACATGTCTTTCTCTGACTGACTTATTTCACTCAGCATAACACCCTCCAGTTCCATCCACATCGTTGCAAATGGCAAGATCTCATTCCTTTTGATGGCTGCATAATATTCCATTGTGTATATATACCACCTCTTCTTTATCCATTCATCTGTCGATGGACACCTTGGCTCTTTCCACAGTTTGGCTATTGTGGACATTGCTGCTATAAACATTGGGGTGGAGGGGACCCCTATTTAGCCCACCCACCTCCCACCTGGTGCATCATCCCTAGTGATGATGGCTTACGGGGTGCCTGTTCATTGTCCTGCAGCTCTCATTACATTGAACTAAAATCGATGGCTTGCAGATTTCCACCGCTCCATTCCACTTCTGCCTCCTGGAGCCATGCAGAGTCAACTCATTCTTTTATTCATTCAAATGATCTTTATTGATACACTGGGTGAGACCCTGGGCTATAGCAAAAAAAAAAAAAAAAAAATCGGACAAAACTCCTTGCCTTAATGGAGTTCGTATTCTAGAAAGGAGTAGGACAGCAATCAAGTACATACAGGATCTGTCAGGCAGTGAGAAGTGCTAGGAAGAAAAACAAAGCAGGCAAGGGGGGGTGAGGGCTGGGCTTGGGTATTGCAGTTTTATAAAGCATAGTCAGGGACGGCCTCTCCGAGGTGGTGACAACCTGAACAAAGCCTTGAAGGAGGTGAAGGGTGAGCTATGTGACTATCCGAGGGGAAGGACAGTGTACCCGTGGAGGGAAGAGCACAGAGCATGTGCAAAGGCCCTCAGGCAGAGGCATGCCTGGTGGAAGCAGGTCCAGCTTGTTCCAGGAACAAGGAGGAGGTCTGAGTGGCTGGAGCAGGGTGGGTGAGGAGCCCTTGGGGGGGTTAGTAGGAGATGAGTACAGAGAGGTAAGGGGTGGGGAAGTGGGGGTCCCTTGCCTGGGGCCTTGAAGGCCACTTTGGTTTTTACTGGGAGTGCAGTGAGTGCCACTGGAGGACTTTGAAGAGAAGAGTCACCTGCTCTGACTCAGGAGTTAGCAGACCAAGACTGTAGGGAGGTGAGGGCAGAAGGTGGCGGGGGGGGGGCGGAGCAGTGACGGGACCTCTGTTGTCATTCTGGGGAGAGACCCCGGCGGCAGAGAGGCCATGGGAAAATATCCGATTTCCCGATTTGGGGTAGTGTTTGAAGGTAGGGTCAGGAGGGTTTGGATGTGAGAAAAAGGTGGAGTCAGGGATGACTCGAAGGTTTTTGGCCTGAGAGTCCGGAGGCTTGGAGCTGCCATCTCCTGAAGTGGGAGCTGTTTAGGGGGAAGAACCGGAGTGCTGGTTTGTGCTTGTTATGCTTGAGATGCTCATTAGGTGTCCACTGGGAAGATGCCCAGTGGGGGGCTTGTGGGGGCTTTGGAGCTGGAAATAAAATTTGGGGCTGGCATTTAGAGCTGTAAGAGCAGATGAGCTCACTTAGGGAGAGAGTGGTACGGAGGAGAGAGACCCAACCCGGGAGCTCTGGGGCTCCCAGCATCAGGAGCCAGCCAAGGAGACAGGAGGAATGGCCAGTGGGCTGGGAGCAGAAGTCAGAGTTGGGGTGAAGGGGGTGCTGCAAGGAGAGGGAGAGCCATTCTGATAGACGCCTTTGGCCAAGCCAGCTGGTCCAGGGCTGAGAACCCAGCTGAGATGAGAACAGTCTGGGGGGCCCAGGAGGATGCGCCTGGAAGACAGCATTACAGACAACAGATAGGAGTCCTGCTGTGAAGGGAGTCAGAGAATTGGGGTTCGAGCTGTCTGAGGAAGAGAGGGCTCTTCTCTCCTGATGGAGACACTATAGTCTGGGTGCTGGTGGGAAATGGTCCCCCAGAGAGAAGCTCAGGGAAGGGGGTGGAACAGAAGAGGGGCCGCAGGAGGGGCAGGGATGGGTCCAGTGCCCCGGGGAAGGCTTGGCCCCAGCTGAGTCAGGACAGTTGAGAAACCAAGCTTCCCTGGACCTTCCTCCCTCTCTTGCCTGCAGGGGCCCAGTGGGCTGAGATTTCAGCCCTTAAGCCAATCAGCTGGCTCAGAGCTCCAGAGAAAGTCAGCTGGCTGTGGTCTCAGGAAGGAAGGAGGTGTCAGGGCTTCCGCCTGGGCCTGGGCTTTAGAAGTAAGGGAGGGCCCATGTGGGTTGTCCCTTCCACTTGACTCTGTTTCATGCCTCTTTCTTGGCCTGGGCCTCACCTTCCTCAAGGAAAGACTGGTCAGGACTCCAAAGTTGTAGTAAGTCAAGAAAAGAAAAGGCAGTGGAGATAGACTGATTTAGTTAGACTGAAGAGGGGAAGTCTGAACAGGGGATTACGGGGGCCAGAAACAGGATTTTTAGGGACAATTTTCATGAAATAGGGGATGATTGGTCATCTGTTTTCTCTCACTCCCAATTGAAGCTAAAGCAGGAGAAACTTAAGTTAGACATGATGAAGAACTTCCTGAGCTGGTTATTTGAGGACTGCAGCAAGGCCAGGTCCTCCCCCTGCCTGTTTCCAGTAAGAAAGGACAGTGTCTGCTCTGAGACAGGGGTCCGATCAAATGGGTCCTTGGGGATTCTTCCTGCTCTGAGGTTTCTGGAAGGAAGCCAGGGAAGAGTTGGGACTTTCCAGCTGCTGATGGGGGGACAGAGCATCAACCATTAGGGCTCAGGCCTGCCTCTCCTTCCTGGTGTCCACAGATCCTTGATGTTACTAGTTGGGTGTGTGTGGCTCAAGCATTTGTCAGCTGCTCCAGACTTGGTGTGTTTGGGAAGGGCCCCTGCTCACTCCGAGCTTGTCCCCTTGGGGGTGAGCACAACTGTGGGTCTCTCAGTGCAGGTCATGGTGGATGCCCAGGGCTTTACACCAGAACTGATAAGAATTACCTAGTTCTGCACAGTGGCTTGGCCACCTCTGGCTTCCAGACCATCCTTTCGGGGTTTCCGGGGGAGGTGGGGTCTGTAGGTGAATCTAGACCTGGCAGTGCTGTGCCCCTCAGGCTTTGCCTTCCTGCTCAAGGCCGTGCCTGCTCCACCAAGCCTAGTAATCTTTGAAGGGGGAGAGTGTGGTCTAGGTTCTCCCGATGCAGACGAGGGGGCAGCTCTCCGTCCTCAGGCATCCTCCGGATAAGAGGAGCAGGTGTTGCCTGGTCTCATGTTAACCTTGCAACATCTTTAATTCCTGGCTGCACACATGCCCTCCAGGCATGGGGTCAGAGAGAGAGTGCCCACCCCATGTTTGGGCTCTTCCCAGAGGGAGGGGCGGGTGGTTCTTTTCCCCAGGTCCTGGACAGGGGTGGCATTGGGGCTGGGCTTTCCACAGCCGAGAGCCACGCCAGGGCCAAGCTCAGAGCTTTTCCTACCTGTCCTGTTCTCTCCTCTCCCAGCTCCCATGTCTACCCTCTTGACTCCTCTGCCTGGCAGTGGGCACAGGGTGGAGGCCTGCTTGGCCAGAGAGAACTGCCCTAGAGCAATCTCTGCATGGGGAATGCCCTCCCGAGCTGCCAGACATGCAGGCAACCTCGCCGTGCCTTTGTCTCCTCACCTGGCCAGCCCAAGGCTTCCATCCCGAGTGCTAGCAACAGTCTGAGTTGGAGACGTCTCCTTTTACTTCCCTTGGGTGGCATGAGGGCAGGCACAGAATGTTCCAGGCCCTCCCCTTCCTCGGTGGATTTTTGATTCATGAGCATTCCCACTGTGCCTCTCCGAGGCCCAGCCCTGTGCCACGCTTAGGGATGCCAGGATGAGTAAGATCCAGGCTTCTGCTTGGGCCAAGAAGGGGGAAAGACACGTAAACAGGAGAGATGCAAAATCTCCAAGTGCCTTGGCGTCTGCTCCCTTGAGTATCTCAGAGTGTCCCTGTTTTGTAAAAAGAAGGAAGAGTTCATCTTCTTTTTCTCTTTTGCTTTCACTTTCTCTGGGCACTGTAGCCGTCCATGTCCCTGGTGACAGTCGCGGAATGGCTCCCGCTGAGAGATTTTCTTTGCTGCTTGGGGACCCTCCCGGGGCCTGAATCACTTCCTCTCAAATTCCCAGAGCCCAGAGTCTGAAGGCTGAGCCCAGAGTAAGCCCCCGACAGAGACGACAGCATTTAATGTGTGGTGGCGAGGGAGTGGGAGGGAAGGGAGGGCCTGGGGGCAGTTGGGAAGGAGGCGGTGACAATTGGGGTCCGTGCTCCCCTAAGCTTTGAAATGACTCAGTGTGCGCACTGATTTTTGCTTCACCTGGGCTGAGTTCTTTATAGCAATGTTCTGGTCTGCCCTCTGGGGTCGCAGCAGGTTACCCTAGCAGGCATGGGTTCAGGGGCACCCCTGTGGCGGAACCCAAATATGGGGGAATTAAGGGCATGCATTCTGGACTCACACTGCTTGGGTTCAAACCCCAGCTCCACCTCACCTGACGGGGAACCCTTGTACAAGTCACTTGGCCTCTGTGTACCTTGGTTTCTTCATCTGTAGAATGGGGCTGATCATAGCAGCTACTTCAGAGTGCTTGGGAGGGTTGAATGAATTCCCATGCGGAAGCGCTTAGGCTGACTGGCAGCACTCTGCATGTGCTTAGTAAATATCAGCTGTTACTGGAGAGAGCACAGCCGTCAGCCTGAATCCAACCAGCGGGGAGGAGCCCTCTCATAAGGTCCCAAAGAGAGTTAATTTCCAAATCCCTTGGGAGTCATTGCTCGACTATCAGCTCAAGATTTACTAAGCCTTCTTAAGCCAGGGATGAAGTGCAGATGTGGAAACCAGGAGCCTTGATTGAACTCTCTGTGGGACCTCGAGCCAATTTCTTGCCTTCTCTGGGCCTCAGTCTGTACATCTGTACAAGGGGGAGCTTGGATTGGGTAATGTCCTAGTAGATCCATGGCCTCCTAGGATTGGGGTGGGGCTGACGTGCTCCTCCCCCTCCCCCTGCCCCCTGCCTGCTTTCAGAGGAGTCTTGACCTCACTTTCCTCCCCAGGTTATGAAATGTGCACGCAGGAGGCCTTCCAGGCTCAGAGGAGTCAGCTGGTGGGGCTGTTGGTCTCAGGGTCCCTGGAGGGCTTTGAGAGCATCCTGGACTGGCTCCTTTCCTGGGAAGTCCTCTCCTGGGAAGACTACGAGGGACTCAGCCTCCTGGGCCAGCCCCTCTCGCACTTGGCCAGGCGCCTCCTGGACACTGTCCGAAATAAGGGCGCATGGGGCTGTGAACAGCTCGTCGCGGCCATCCGGGAGGCCCAGACCGACTGCCAGGCCCCAGAGCTTTCCGGTTGCTGGGATCCCCACTCGCCCCACCCAGCCCGTGACCTGCAGAGTCACCGGCCAGCCATTGTCAGGAGACTCTACAGCCATGTGGAGGGTGTGCTGGATCTGGCGTGGGAGCACGGTTTCATCAGCCGGTATGAATGTGATGAAATCAGGTTGCCCATCTTCACATCCTCCCAGCGGGTAAGGCACTTCTGTCTTGGGTAATCAGAATTCCCGGGAAAAGGGTGCTTAGTCACCAGGACGGGTTTGTCTTTGGGGAGTCAGCCCCGTGGGGAGACTGGGAAGGTGCTGGCCTTCCCCCTAACAAAGTCACCAGGCAGGTAAAAGTCATTCAGGGCCTGTTCTCTGTGATGCCAGGACTTCTCTGTGGAAACTCTCCCTCCTTAATCTCCCCTGTTTCTTCTCCTCGTCTGTGAAATGTCAGTAAGGTTCTCGGGAAAAGTCGGTGAGTTGATTCATGTAACCCTTCGAACAGTGTCTAGCGCATTGTAACCACTCGTTAACATTCCCATTGGCCGCCATTAGTTGTGTTATTGGTGATATTCTGTACTTGTACGCTTTTTGGCTGTCTTAAATTAACAGCTCAACATCATCAAAATTCATTAAGTTGTCTTTGTATTTCATAATTAATTATTACATTGTATTTAATAGATACTTTAACATTTAATTACTAATCGTTAATAATTAGCACACTATGGACCGCTGTTGTTCACATGTCTACGTTGGATTTCTGATACGAACTTGCAATGGCTCATAGACATTCAGAGTTGGGGTGTAACTCCCTCTGAAAACGCATTCCATTAGACCAGAAAAGTGTCTGTTGGGTAGTTTTGAAACTCCTTATTCATTTTACCCCAAACAGCGACCCTCTGGGCTCTTGTGATACAGATGGAGCCATCACTGATATCCCCCTTTATATATTGGAGAACTGATGCCCAGAACAGTAGTTTGATGGCATGGAAGTGCCGTGTTGGACCTGGTACCTTGACTCGCTTGTTCATTGTTCATTCATTCATTCGTTTATTCAGCCAGAATCTATTTTTTTTTTTAAAGATTTATTTATTTATTTATTTGTTTGTTTGAGAGAGAGAGAGAGAGCACAAGTGGGGGGAGGGCAGAAGGAGAGGGAGAAGCAGGCTCCCTGCTGAGCAGACCAGGACCCTGAGATCATGACCTGAGCCCAAGGTAGACGCTTAGCTGACGGAGCCACCCAGGCGCCCTGTTGGCCAGAATCTATTTAGATGCTTACTATGTGCTGGGCTCTTAAAACTTCTTGCGCTCAGTAAATAGGCATTCGATAAATACTTGTTGATGAAACACCTCAGTTATTGAATGAATGAATGAATGAATGAATTGGAATTAAATGGCAGTGTTAGGTCGGGCCAAACTGGGGGATTTTCTAGTCTTTATTTTCTATTAAAAAAAAGGTCTGGTGATTAGGTGAGTCTAGGTTGAGACTGATGGGATAAACCAGTGCATCCTTAAGGCTGTTTTAAAGCTGGCTCAAGGTGGCTGCATATTTACAGAGCACGCGTGGTGTGGGCCCCTCCTATTACTCACTAGTGCACATGAAACCTACAGTTCTACCCTGAGGACCAGCTCTTTGAGCCTGGCCCTGTGGGGATTACAGAAAACATGTTTGTTGTTGCACCTCCCCTGGTGTCTTTGTGATCTGTTGTGGAGATCGAATCAGCCCATATGGGAAGTGAAAGGATTGTGTCTTGTCATCTTTGATCAAGTGTTCAACAGTGTGGTAGTGTGGTCCAGCCTGGATGCTCTGAGCAGTTTAAAGAAGGCAGCCTTGGGCCTAGAGGAGACAGGGCATGCATAGCGGAGGTATTTGGATTGATGAAAAAAGAAAGTAGGGTAACTCATAGGCCAAAGAAGAAATCATAATGGAAATCAGAAAATAATTCAGAGCCAAACAGTAATGAGAATCTGACTTATAAAAATTTATGGGGTATAGCTAGAGCAGAACATAGAGGGAAATGTATAACCTTAAATGCTAATATTAGGAAAGAAGAAAGCCTGCATTTTAATGAGCTAAGACTACATCTTAAGAAAAGGCCAGGTGGACAGCAAAAGCACCCATCACTGGGACTGTGCAGAGCATGTGGCCGACAAGACCTCTGAGGGTCGTAGGAGTTTCCCGAGGGACTGGGCAGCCTGAGGTTTAAGTTTTTGGAATCCAGCTCTCTCTGAGCCTTCTTTGAGGTCTGGCATCCTATGGTTCTCTAACTTGGTGGCTTGCCTTCAGTGGCTGAATTTCTGATTCAGTGTGGGTGGTACTTGTGGTATGTCCAACCAACATATCCCCCCACTCCAGGACTGCCTTGTTTACTCTTGTAAACTGACCTTGTAATTTCCTATAAAGAGGCAGTTGTCATGGATTGCAGGTTGGGCACCGAAAAATGCTGTGGAATGAAACAAAATGCAAGCTGAAGAACTAGATCCCTAAAAGACCCACTGCTACTATTTACTGAGTGAGTGCCTACCTCGTGCCGGGCACGGTCCGTAGCCCTCGACGGTTGTGATCTCTAAGCCACACTACGACCTTCTCAGGGTGTCGTGTTGGCTCTACTGTTTCTTAACAGTGAAGAAACTGCCCAAACCACCCATCTGGGAAGTGGCCCAGCTAGAGTTCGAATCCAGGCCTGACTGTCCCCAGAGGGAATGATCTTCTCTTTCTGACCTGAAATGTGGGGCTTCGTGCGGTGACCTCGCACAGTCGGGTATAACATTGTTAGCAGACCCGAGGCTATAAAGCCGGCTCTCCATCTGACTCATGCACCTGCTAAGGTTGCTAGGGCCAGAGTGTCAGACTGAAATGCTTGACTCTTTTATGAAATTAACTCCAACACCTTTAACTTGGGAAATGTAGCATGCCTGCAGAAAAGTGTATAATTTCACATGTTGTGGTATAAACACGTTCCCATCACCCACATGAAGACAGAATGTTACTACTACTTTCCTCTGTTGCTACGCCTAGCCTGACTTTTGTGTGAAGTCATTTCTTTGCTTTTCTTCATAGTTTTAACACCTTATGCAATAATTCTCCAAACAGTGTGTTTTGTTTTGAAAAAGTTCTAGCAAGCACAAGCATAGTGGTGTCAGGCAAGGGTAATCCTGCCTCTCCTTCTTGGAGGCAGGCTCCCAGGAGCACAGAAGCTGAACAGGGCCTCAGGGACTTGGTCTTGGCTTTACCATTTGGAGGCTTTCTAAGGACTCCTGCTGGGAAGTCAGTGGGCAAGGTCATTGAGTGAGGCCTGAGAAACAGAGCATTCACTACAGCTGGAGGATCTGGTAGAGTAGGTATGAGTCAGAGCCGGATGTCTGGGAATAGTCAGAGGAAGTGGGCTGCTCCATATGTTCAGTTGTAAGCTTGTCCAAGGCTCCCTCAGTTCCCAGGAATAGGGCCAGGCCAAACACTTCTGCGGGGTGAAATGGGTGTCCTCCGCTGATCCAGGCCACAAGGTGGAGAGAAAGAATGATATTAGCCTGCGGTACAGACAAGCCAAGTATAGATAAGGATTAGAGCCAGGCCTGCCTGGACATCTAGGAAATAATTGCTCTGGTCCTGTGTGAGTCTTGAGTCACATTGCTCCAATCTGCCTCAATTGGTGGCCCTCTACTTATGGTAGAGCCATCATCCTGAGATTTCCCTTAATCGTCCTCTTATGTTGGTTTTCCTCTACCTGAGTAATCTGTCTTCCTTTTTCTTGGTTTGTTCTATTCTGGGAGATCATATCTCCCCCACACCTGTAAAATGAGTATATGGGAGTTAAATTTTAACCTCTTATATAGCTACAAGTTTCCTCATATTTGGTCAAAATTTGGCTGGGTATAAAATTCTGGGTTGGGCATCATTTTCCTTCAGAATTTTGAGATTATTACTCCCTTATTTGCTCTCTTCCAGAAAAGAATTGCTAGAATTCCAAAACTCTTTTATAACTCTTTCTGGAAGTGTGTGGAATTTTCTTTTGGCCCCCTAACATTGTGAAATGTCACAATGATGTGCCTTAGTGTTTTTCCATTGTGCTGGGCACTCAAGGGGTGCTTTGAATCTGAAAACTCAGATTCTTTTATGTTCTGGAAGATTTTCTTGATTACTTTATTGATGATTTCTTTCTCTTTTTTCTTTTCTCTCTTTATGGAACTACTCTTTGAATTTTAGGACTCCTAGACTGATCTCCTAATTTTCTTCTCTTTCTTGTCCATTTTCTATCTCTGTGTCCTTTTTTATCACTTCCTCTATAATATCTTCCACTTAATCTTTAAACCCTTGTGCCCTTGTGTTTTTCATTTTTGTGATCACTTTTAATTTCCAAGAGCTATTTTAAAATGTTTCTATTATAGCATCCTGTTCTTGTTTTATGGATGCAATTTCTTGTCTCACTCAAGGACCATAATGATACAGTGGTTTTTTTTGTCTGTTTTGTTTCTGGTGGAGGGCAGATTTTTTTCCCACCCTGCATTACCTTTTTATCCCACAAGTTGCTTTCCCCTTCCCCACTTATTTGGCCTCGATCTCCCATATGAGATGCTTTCTTTGGGTATGTGGTGATCCTTAGTTGACCGCTCATGACTGAAATAGATTCCCTGAATCTAACTCTGGAAACTCAGAGCCTACAGGTGAAACTTGTCTGCCTCAAGTTTCACTGTAGACCTTTTGGGAAGTGATGGTACTTGTATCTTTAGACCTTTCCTCCTAGGTTGGTCAAGTTACCAGCCTGGAGGTAAAGGTCTGACTTCCAAAATTGTGGGAACCCAGTGAATAAGAGGGCTGGGTGGTGATAGTGGTGGGGAGAGGTCTCTGCGTTCAGCACTCATTTTGCCCATGGTCATTTAAACCTGCTTTTGGGGCATGATGCCCTCCTCCTTTATTGTGCCTGGTGCCTCCCAGTCCAGGGACCCTGCTTTAGCCTTTCCGGAATATAAATCTCCACACTTTGCCAAGGCAGGGCAGGAACAGTTGTTGTTGGCTTGGAGTGGGTCAGGGGAACCAGAGATCTGTTTTATAAACCACGTTGACTCAACCCTCCTTACTTTAATCATTTCCTTTGATTCTGGAGGTACCTGATACTCTTAATTCCAGAGATCTTTATAGAGTCCGAGATGCACATCGTGTGGTTTTCAACCCACTGTTGGCTTAGGATCTGGCTTTCTGGGCTCTTTTAAGTCTATTACTATTCACTCCTTTGGCAAGTCCTTGAATGCATGCTCTGTGCCAGGCACTCTTCTAGGTGAGGATACAGCAGTGAGCAAAACAGACAAAAATCCTTGTCCTGGAGATGCTCATGTTCCAGTGCAGGGAGATGGATAATAAGCAAAAGGAAGCAAATGACAGGGCATGTTGGAAGGTGATGGATGTGCTATAGAAAATAGCAGAGTGGGTCTGGGGGTTGAAAGTTACAGGGGGTGGAGGTAGTGATTGCAATCTTAAATAGAGTGGTCAGGGAGTTCTCAAGAAGGTGATATTTGAGCAAAGGCTTGAAGGAGGTGAAGGAAGGGGTCATGTGGACAGCTGGAGAAAGGGCATTCCAGGCAGAGAGGACAGCCCCAGGAAAGGCCCAGAGGTGGGAGCATTCTTGATGTTTCCAGAAAACCCGAGGCTGGTGTTCTGAGCAGAATGAGCAGGGGGAAGATCAATAAGAGGTGAAGTGAGAGAAGTTAAGCAGGATCCTGAGGGTCACAGACAGCACTTTGGTCTGTTTGGAGCCTTGTAGGTTACTGTTGAACTTGGGCTTTTACTTTGAGAAAATGAGGGAAGTGCTGGGACGTTTGTAACAGGAGAGGTATGATCTGACTTTTATTTTTAAAGAATGACACTCTGCCTGCGATGTTGAGGATAGATTCTGGGGACAGGGACAGAAGCAGGGACACCAGTTAGGCAGCCTTTGCTGTTTTCCAGGTGAACAATGATAGCGTCTTGGCCAGTGGCATAGAGGAGGGGACAAGAAGGGACAGGGCTCTCTAGCTGTGCATCCAGTGGGGTAGACACTGGCCACATGTGGCTATTGAGCGCTTGATATGTGGCCGGTCTGCAATGGCATTCTGTTCCGGAGAATGAATGTAAAATATCTCAGTAATTTTTTATATTGATTACATGTTGAAGTGGTGATATTCCGGCTATATCGGGCTAAATAAAATATTTGACTGAAATGGATTTCATTTATTTTTACTTTAAAAAAATATGGCTACCGGAAGACTCAACATTACAAATACATCTCGCATTTGTGTCTACCCTCTGGGCAGCAAGCATTATACTTCTATTGTGCTGTTCTGGATATGCAGTCAAGCCAACAGGGTTTGTTGGTGGATCGCAGAGGAGAAGTTTCCAGGGTGATTCTAGAAGTTTGGGGCTAAGCAACTGGAAGGGTAGAGTTGACATTAGCTGGAAGGAGGAAGGCTGCAGTTTTGGGGGCTGGTGTAGACAAGGAGTTTAGTTGTGGATGTGTTAAGTCAGAGGTGTTTAGGGGACATGGCGGGCAGACAGTTTTGGGTGTGTGTGTCCAAGGTTCAGGGGAGCAGTTCAGGTTGGAGATGAAAATGTGGGGGTCATGCTCAGTGATGGTATTCCAAGCCTCGGGGCTCCACGGAATCACCTGTCTTCCAAATGATTTCTCGCTTCCAGAGTTGTTTTTCCTATCCTTGCAGGTTTATGGATTTATGTCTTTTTCTCCTTTTTTTTTTTTTAAAGATTTTACTTATTTATTCATGAGAGACACAGAGAGAGAGAGAGAGGCAGAGGGAGAAGCAGGCTCCCAAGGAGCAGGGAGCCCGATGCGGGACTCGATCCCAGGACTCTGGGATCATGACCTGAGCCGAAGGCAGACGCTTAACCATCTGAGCCACCCAGGCACCCTCTTTTTCTCCTTTTTAAGTGATTCCCTCTTTTAGTGAGAGCCAGATCGGGTGCGTGTATTCAAGTGTTTGCTTCACCACCACGCAGCACCTAGTAATATCTTCTTCAAACGCCCCTTGCTTTGGGTGTTTTTCTGGCCTCTTATTGTGGTGGAAGGGAGATACCTAAGAAACTGTAGTGACCGGTAGAAACCTTCCCATACTGTCTCCATCTGCCTTTCTGGAAAGATACTGACTTTTGCTCTCCCCATAGGCAAGGAGGCTCCTCGATCTTGCCACAGTGAAGGCGAATGGGTTGGCTGCCTTCCTTCTACGTCATGTTCAGGAATTGCCAGTCCCGTTGGCCCTGCCTTTCGAAGGTATATACTTATATGTTCTTCTCGGTTCATCAGAAAGGGAAAGAAAGGCTGTACGGATTCCTGGTTAAGGGCAGAACTCCAGAGCAAGACCTGTCCTAAGTTAGAATTCCACTAACTGGCCCTGCGGGCCTCCCTACGGCTCAGTTTCCTGGTTTCAAGGATAACACCACCACCACTGACTCACTGGGCTGTTGGGAGGGTTGAGAGGCTTATCACGTGTAATATGAGGGTTAGCTTTTGTTACTTCCCAAGCTGCACCGTGATAACTGGAGCTTACTGCGCCCTGAAGCGAAGACAGGTCTTCCTCACCAGCCAAACTCTTATTATTTGTCCCGAAAGGGATACACTTTTGAGATAGGGTTGTTATCTCTTGATTTCTGCAATTTAACTACTCACTGTGAGAAACTCTGGAACCAAATGGGTTTAGATAACATGGTAGCTCTCTCGTTGCATATGGCCACCAACCCAACCCAGGGATGGCAGGGGCTCGGATCCCACAGTTGGCACATAGTAGGCGTCCTTGCAAAGGTGCTTTATTTACCGTATCTGTCCTTTGCAGCAACCTTGAGAAATCCGTGTCATTCTTTCCACTTTACGGATGTGAAAACTGGGGCAAGGAGGGCGGGGGTTGAGGTGAGGAGGATGTGTCTGGTTTTAAACCGTCTCCACCGCTGCTTCCCCTTTTCTTGGGAGGTGAGATCGTCAGTTGTAAAGAGAGGGCGTGAGCCTCGCATGTCTTGTTCCCCCATCACCATAGGGATTGCTCATTGGCGGTGAGGGCCCCTGACCTGTGGGTGGTGCTAGCAGATAGATTTACCACCCTGGGCTCTACCCTCGGGGCAGCGAGCATGCCTGCGGGAGGGATGGCTAGAAGCTGGTGCGTGGCACCTCGGTGTGCACCATCTCCCTGAGAACAGGGCACAGACATCAGTGTCCACCAGGGGCTGCTCATCACAGAGCACGGTGCCCGGGTTGGGCCTTGGTTAATGTCTGCTGTTGATACCATCAAGCCCAGCTGACTTTCATGCATTGTAACTCTGTGACATGGGGTCATATTCCCCAGGGTGACCAATCCAAAATGGACAATTGACCTGTGTTTGTTTTTCAAATGAGAGATCCCTGTTTTTCTGGAGAATTTTATATTGGTGGGTCGTGTCTGGAAAACCTGCATTAGAACTGAGGGAATTAGAAAGGCCGGTGTCTATTTTATGGTATCTACGTTCAGTGCTCCTGGTATATCCAGATTTAAGAACAATGATGATTATCAGCTCTGGGAACAGAAGATGGGACACAAACACGGGGCAACTGCTTTGGATGCTAAGTATGCTCTGTGAGAATTACTTGTTAGCTTTTGAGTTGAGAACAAGGGGGCTGGTCTTTGGTTGGGAGCAGCGAAGTCATGATGCTCTGGGCAGTGTCCCGCCCAGAGCATCCCGCAGTGTCCTCCCACCCTGGGGGCTCTGGACTACCACTTCCGCATTCCCTGAAAGAGGAACTAACCCCTGATACAGAAAGTAGTTTGCTCACATTGGTTATTAGGATGGTAAAGGACAAGCAGCTGCCTTATGGACACACCCTATGTGCAAGAGGGTTGCTGAGGGTTATGTGAAGAGCATGGGGAAGTGAATCTTGATCAAGAACTCTTGTCCAAGTGCTTGACCCGGGCACCCCGCTGCCCCTGAGACCAAAGGGTGCTAGGTCCACCTGGATCACCCAGGATATGTCCCTATCTCTTTAATCACATTTATCTAGTCCCTTTTTTGTAAGTAAGGTGACATATTCACAGATCCTGAGGGTTACTGTTATGCCTACCAAACCCATCAGTATCATGATAATAAATACCATCTTTCAAGAGTTTACCATATGTCAGACAGTCCTCTAAAGTTTATCTTATCTCATTTCCTCCTGTAACAATCCTTCAAGGTGTGGATTGTTCCTGATTTTGGGAGATAAGTATACCGAGGCGGGAAAGGTTGAGTGGCTTGCGCAAGCTAATGATGGAGCCCACATTCAAACGCAGGCGTATCGGACTTCAGAAACTGGGCTGCCAGGCTCTTACACCTTGTGTTTTTCTTTAGAAAGACACAGCCAAGATTGAGTGGTGAAGAGGCTTCTCAAAGGCCATCTAACCAATATGGTGGGACAGGCATCGGAATGCAGGTCTTCTGATCCCAGCCCAATGCTCCTTCTAATCTACAGCTCTTCCTGATGTCAGTAGTAATAATACCACTAGTTAATATCTTTTGAGCTCTGTGTGGGACTCTGAATGAAGCACTTGACATGAATTATCTTAATTGCTCCATGTAAACCCTATAAGGTAGGGACCACCATTTTCCCACTTCCCAAGTTGGGGTGGGGGGTGGAATTCCCAGGCTTAGGAAAGTTACGTGACGGTCGTCAAAGCCCACAACTTGAAAGTGGAGAAGCCAGGGCTGGCACGTGCTGGCTCTTCTTTCCATGCATAACATCACATTCCCCCATGCAGCCCCCTCTCTGTCAGATCCCATCCACCCCACCGTCCTACCTCATTGGCCTCTTCTTCGGTCTTCCAGATGCCGCGTGTAAGAAGTACATGTCCAAGCTGAGGACCACGGTATCGGCTCAGTCTCGCTTCCTGAGCACCTATGATGGGGCAGAGAATCTTTGCCTGGAGGAAATATACACAGAGAATGTTCTGGAGATCCGGACAGAGGTGGGCCTGGCCGGACCCCCGCAGAAGAGCCCTGTGACCCTGGGCCTGGAGGATCTCTTCAGCACCCGTGGCCACCTCAATGAAGATGCAGACGCCGTGCTGGTGGTGGGCGAGGCGGGCAGTGGCAAGAGCACGCTGCTACAGCGGATGCACCTGCTGTGGGCTGCAGGGCGCGACTTCCAGGAATTTCTCTTCGTCTTCCCGTTCAGCTGCCGGCAGCTGCAGTGTGTGGTCAAGCCTCTGTCTGTGCAGATGCTGCTCTTTGAACACTGCTGTTGGCCTGACCTTGGCCAACAGGACGTCTTCCGGTTCCTCCTTGACCACCCCAACCGTGTCCTCTTAACCTTCGATGGCTTTGACGAGTTCAGGTTCAGGTTCTCGGATCGCGAGCGTCACTGCTCTCCCACTGACCCCACCTCTGTCCAGAATCTGCTGTTCAACCTTCTGCAGGGCAACCTGCTAAAGAATGCCCGCAAGTTGCTGACCAGCCGTCCTGATGCGGTGTCCGCATTCCTCAGGAAGTACCTGCGCTTGGAACTCCACCTCAAGGGCTTCTCAGAAGAGGGCATCGAGCTGTACCTGAGGAAGTGCCACCGTGAGCCAGGGGTGGCCGACCGCCTCATCCGCCTGCTCAAAGGGACCTCGGCCCTGCATGGTTTGTGCCACCTTCCTGTTGTCTCGTGGATGGTGTCCAAATGCCACCAGGAACTGTTGTTGCATGGTGGGGGGTCCCCAAAGACCACCACGGATCTGTACCTGCTGATCCTGCAGCATTTTCTGCTGCATGCCTCCCCAGCAGACTTGGTGCCCCACGGTCTGGGATCCGGCCTGCTTCGAGGCAGGCTCCCCACCCTCCTGCGTCTGGGCTGGCTGGCTGTGTGGGGCCTGGGCACGTGCTGCTACGTATTCTCAGCCAAGCAGCTCCAGGCAGCACACATCGACAGGGAGGACATTTCTCTTGGCTTCCTGGTGCACGCCAAGAGTGTTGTGCCGGGGGGTGATGCCACCCTGGAATTCCTGCACATCACCTTCCAGTGTTTTTTTGCAGCCTTGTACCTCGTGCTCAGTGCTGACCTGTCACCGTCCTTGCTCAGACAGCTCTTCAATTGTCACCGGCCGCGCGGCTCGCTGCTGGCCCGGCTGCTGCCCCCCATGTGCGTGCCGCGCTCAGAGGGCCAGGAGGGCGGCACGGCCGCTTTGCTGTGGGAGGCTGAGCCGCACAACCTCCGGATCACAGCAGCCTTCCTGGCGGGGCTGCTGTCCCGGGAGCACGGAGGCCTGCTGGCCGAGGGCCAGGTGTCTGAAAAGGCCCTGCTTCAGCTCCAGGCCTGCGCCCGCAGATGTCTATCCCACAGCCTCCACGAGCACTTCCACTCCATCCCCCAGGCCGTGCCGGGGGAGGCCAAGAGCATGCATGCCATGCCCGGGTTCATGTGGCTCATCCGGAGCCTGTACGAGATGCAGGAGGAGCGGCTGGCCCGGCAGGCCGTGCGGGGGCTCAAGGTCGGGCACCTGAAGCTGACGTTTTGCGGCGTGGGCCCTGCAGAGTGTGCCGCCCTGGCGTTTGTGCTGCGGCACCTCCGGTGGCCTGTGGCCTTGCAGCTGGACCACAACTCTGTAGGGGACCTTGGTGTGGAGCAGCTACTGCCTTGCCTGGATGTCTGCAAGGCTCTGTAGTGAGTGTTGCTGGGTGACGCAGGCTGGGTGTGGCACGAATGCCAGTGCTTGGGTGCCTTGTGGGAGCTGGGTGCCGGGGGCGGGGAGGGGGGCGCGGGCAGCCAGCTCCGCAACCCCCCCCCCCCCCGCCACCTCTTCGGAGCAACCCCAGCCCCGCCCCTTCCCGGTCGAGAGCCTTAGTTTTGTGGTGATGATGACAGCCATGCGTATGGAGTGTCCCACGTGTCAGGCGCTGTGTTACACACTTCCGGCAATTAATTCCTTTCATCTCAGTGAACACCCGGGGCCGTCTCCCCGTTATCCTCCGTTTGAGGCCCAGAGAAGCAGAGTCACTGGTCTGGCGGGACACAGGAGATGGCAGAGCTGGGTTGAACAGATCACATCTTTCCTGTGACAAGTCCTTGCTCCCCACAAGCAGCCTGCCCGTGGACAGGTTTCAGGGCTCCACGAGAACCTTGAAGTGACACGCAAAGTTTTGTGTCATATGTGTATGTTATTAGGAACCACCCACAATTTAGAGGTGACTTAGGCCCCATGAGAGATTTTAAAATCCCAATGAGATGCGAATTTCAGGATCCAAGCGCTGGAAAGTGGCTGCAGAGTTGCACCGCATGCCCCCCACTTTTTTTTTTAAGATTTTATTTTTCATTTGAGAGAGAGAGAGAGATCAGGAGCAGGGGGGGAGTGGGAGAGGGAGAAGCAGAGTTCCTGCTGAGCAGGGAGCCCAATGTGGGACTCGATCCCAGGACCCTGGGGTCATGACCTGAGCCGAAGGCAGATGCTTAACGACTGAGTCACCCAGGTGCCCTGCACCTGCCCTTTTATCCTCTGTGCAGTGCGGCACCCACATGAGGGTGTGCCGTCACCTGTACTGCTTCCCGACCCCCATCTGGAGGTGTGAGGTTTCCTTCCCCCTTTGGAACGTCTGTTCCCGCACCTGCAGGGCCTCTCTCCACGTCTAGGGCCAGGTGAGAGCAGAGGGCATGGCCAGGTCTGGCAGCCAGCTGGCTGCAGGCTCCCCCACTTTCCTCCCTGCCTTGAAAGGGCATATCCTGCTCCCTATTTAAAACCTCTGAGAAAGCCGAAGTGGTAGCTTAACGTTAAAATCTACTCACAGCTTTCTGGGGCTTTTGGTCTATCCCAGATGACCTTATTTGACCCTAAGCAAGGGACAAGCCTCTCCTTGAATCTATTAAGAAGGCACACCTTCTCTGGGCCAGAGCAGCAAGATTTTTTTTCCCTCTGGAGCACACATATGCCTATCTATTAGAAACTTGGTGGCCTGTGTTATCCCTTACATAGGGTCCATGGTCGTAAGTTTATAAATATAATGTAATAATAATAATATGTAGCATATTTTATATAGTTAACACGTATATTATAGATAATGTATGTTATGAATATATCAAGAGGATATAGTGTTGACACATTTAAATTGGGTCGTTTGCAGAGGCTTGGGCAGCAGTTAGGAAGAGCCAGGAGGGACAGGGCAGGGTCCTGAGGCCTGTGACCATGAGGGTGGGGACGGGGCTGTCACCCTCCGCAGGCCTGGAGAGGCAGGGCTGGGGGGCAGGTGTGGAGAAGGCTGCCTGGTAGGAGCTGAGGCTACAGAAAGCTGGGAGAGTGGGGGTCCTGGCCTTTCCTCCCCTTCCCACTTGTGCCTTGACCAACCAACCGGGAGTTAGCGTGGGGTACCTGCTGCTGTCATCCATGGGCATCAGCCCCTCAGGACCGAGAGCCAGGCAGAGAGGGGAAAGTGGATCTGGCCAGGCAAATGGAAGATGGCCAGCACCATACTCTATTTCCCCAGGAAGGAGGAATCCCCATATTTTCACTCAGGAAGTCTGAGACCTGTCTGTGGGAGTCATTTTCCTGATAAAATATGAACGTGCATTTTTCTGAATAGTGGACCTGTCATCCTCAAAGGGGTCCTCGAGTCCCAAGAGGTCGGGAACCACTGGCCTGGATGATCCTTATAGACCAGTCCATCCTTAGAATGAATGGACCCCTTCTCCTCAGTTAAGGAAAGCCCACGTCACTCCCAGGATGTGTCAAAGGGCTGAGGGGAGGCTCGAGGTCTGTTTCTTATTCTCAGAAGAAGGTGAGGATGGTCTGGTTCCAGTGCTCTGCCCGTAGGTGAAAAGGAGCTTGTGGAAATGCAGATTCTAGGGCCTGTCCCCATTGATTCTCATTCCCTAGGTCTGGGGTGGTCTGTGGGAACCAGCTTGATTTTCCACGAGCCATAAAAGGCCTTGACCAAGTTCCACTGCTCTTTACTCTCTGTACCGAAATTGCCAGTGCTGTGTGGGAGGGGAAAGGACCTGGAGGTTGCTGCTTGGGCATTTCCTGTGTGTGTGTGTATGTGAGAGAGAGAGAGACAGAGAGAGAGACAGAGAGAGACAGAGGGTAGTGGACAGCAGGAGGGCTCCTCTCCCCCACAGCCATACTGCCTCTCTCCCACTTGAATTGTTTCCATGCCAACAGAAACGTGCAGCCTCCAGGAAACCTGTCTACAGAGTGTCCTCATCTGGGTTTCTTTAGACCCTGGCTCTGACTCTAGGCTGCTGGCTTTCACAGTTTTTGGGCTGTGACCCACCGTGAGAGAGAAGGTACAAGCAGGCACACAGGGATCTAAAACTGAAACAAAAACTTCACAAAATGACTTTCCGGTGTAAACTGGGATGCATTCTGCCCTCTTCTGTTCTTTTTCCCTTTCAAAATGCTGCTGGGCCCTTCCGAGTTGATTTCATGACCCACCAGTGGGTCATGACCTGCAGCCTGAAAATCACGGCTCTAGGAGCCCCTAGAAGGCCTTGGGGGAGAGGCAGGGGATGTCATGCTTGTGGGTGGGGTTCGGAGCCAGACCTCCCGGGCCCAGATTCTTTAGGCGCTGTGCAGCCTTGGCGCGGTCACTCCACTTGTCTGTGCCTCAATTTCCTTCCCCTAATAGGCATCATGGTAGTACCTACGTGGTGAGCTTTTGTGAGGATTAAATACCTTTACTTTTGGGAAGTGCTTAGGTGAGCATTCCATGCACTTGAGCAGTCATGATTATAGGGAGCTTCTACCCATTCCAGGGGCTCCCAGGGCTTTATGTGCACTGTCTCTTTAAATCTTATTTTCTACAGCCAGGTGGGGCTGGGAATACCATCCTGAGGAAGGGAGCAGCAAATAACTAGTAAGTGGCTGCTAAGGATCCGAATTTCCACTGAGGGATTTCAGAGCCCACGTTGGGTTAACCTTTAAGTTAGGGTCTCCCCGATCTGCCCGAACATGGGGATCATGGGCACAGTTGTTAACATACACAGACCCCTGGGTCCAGCCGCCCCACACATACAGAACCACCAGCTCCAGGGAAGGGGCCTGAGAGTCTGTATTCTAGAGACGCTTTCTGAAGATCTAGTGGCATCAGGTGAGTTTGGGGGACGCTGCCCTCCGGTGCCCACCATCACCTCCTGCGGGGGAGGGGGCCGGCTAGTTCTCACCACACCCACCCACCTCGGAACCTTCTGTGAGGCCGCTGTGAAGATCGTTTCTGTGTTACAAAGCTGGAAACAGTTTCTCGGACTAGGCCAGTGACCCTGAGGATTCCAGTGTTCTTTAGCAGGAGCTCTGGGTCCCCGCTTGCTGAGCTGTCCCCTACCTAGGGCATGGCGTCGGCATCCAGACCAGGGATGGGGGCGTCTCCTCTGTTCTGGGGCCCTCAGTGCTTTGTGGTGTTTTCCAGAAGCCCAGATGATGGCACTTTGGGCACACGTGAAAATCTCTCCGGGGGGTCTTGTTTATTTGATTTTTCTCTCATCAGCTCCATTTTCAAATTTATTTGCTTTGTCTTTTGTTCAGCTTGCGAGATAACAATATCTCCGACCGAGGTGTCTGCAAGCTCGTGGAGCATGCGCTGCAGAGTGAGCAGCTGCAGAAGTTAGCGTAAGTTGGGCTTGGGCTGCGGACGTCGGGGCCTCGTGCCCCCAGCCACGCTCCAGGCCGTGCCACCGGGGCTGTGAGCAGGGCCGCAGAGGTCTGCCTGGTCAGAGGGTGTGGGCGGCTCCTGTGCTGAGGGAACCGGCTACCCAGGGCTTGGGGTGGTCACTGACTGTTGTCCTTGGTCTCCATGGCTCCTCCCTTTCGGAAATTTCCAGGCTCTTCAACAACAAACTGACGGATGGCTGTGCACATCCCATGGCCAGGCTCCTTGCGTGCAAAGGGAACTTCTTGGCGTTAAGGTGAGCACTGCCTTTCTGCTGCACAGCTGAGTCTGCTTGGTCTGGCCTTGGCCCTGGCTCGGCCTCTGCTGGGCCGCTAATCTCCTGGCTGCTTTACAGGGCCTTGGAGCAGGGTTTCACCAATGCTCTGACCTCCCCAGCAAACTCCGGACCGGCTCTGCTCGGCTGAGGGCTTCCCGCCCTTTGACCTTTAGCCCCCCAGGGCTGAAGAGGGTTTCCAGGGCCTTTTCCTTCCCCGGGTCTAAGAGCGTCACGAGCTCTCTGGGGTTTCCCAGCTCCCTGATGGACGTTGAGCACGGGCTGTGGGCAGAGGCGTGCACCAGTCCCCTGTCCCCACGGTGGTGGCAGCCAGTCGCCGAAAAGCTCTCAGAAGGTCCTTTCGGTGCTTGGTGGGTCCGGCTTTGTACTCCAGTCTGTGAAGTCTGCGATTCTGCTGCTCTTGGCCCTCCTGGCTCAACTGGAGTCGCTCTCCTGACACCGTTAAATCACCTCTCCTGCTGGCCCCTGGCTTGGCCTGGCTTCTCTCTCTCCCTCTCTCTCTCTCTCTCTCTCTCTCCGGGGATGTCTTGCCACCTGGATTTATGTGGCGGTGCAAGAAGAAGAATTTATGTGGACGAACAATTGCTATCAGCCATTCTTTCTAACTGCTGGGCTGGGTTTGGGGATGGGAGCTGCCATTTTTAAATTGCTAACCATGTAGCTCAGTCTCAGGCAGGGCTGCTGAGGCCTTTCTGTACAAAGGACTCTGTTTTGCCACCACCACCTGCTCCCCCAGACTCAGAATCCTGAGAGCCGCTGTGGCCAGAGGGAGGGCCGTGGGGTAGCGGGAAGGTGCTACACTCGACCCTGAGGCCTGGGGTCTGGGCTAGAATAGCACGATAGTTGAGATCATGGGGCTCTGGGGATCAGACCAACTGAGGTTTGGGTCCAGGATCCCTGAGATTTGAATCCTCATTTGCTGTGTGACCTTGGGTCAGCCCAGTGCCTCTGTGACTCTGTTTCCCCTACCGTAAAATGTGAATAATAATTACAGCTTCCTCATAGTTTGTTGCGATGATTGAATGAGTTAACATATGCAGAGACCTGGCACAGTTAAGTCGGTGCTTTAAGCAGTGAGCTCAGTGGCTAAAAGATGGCGAATAATCACGAAAGTTCTCAGTATGTTGGTCCAGTAGTTCAGGCCTCTGAGGGGGGATTAGATGTGCAAGAAATTTGTTGGGGAAAAATGCCAATGAGGGGCAGTGGGGGAAGGCACTGGGGGAGGCTGGGCAAGTCAGGTCTGACCCTGAGTGAGGGGGAGAGGGAAGGAAAGAGGGCTGGGAGGAAGTGTCCTGGCCTTCAGCGCAGTTCTGAGAGCACAGACGGTGGCGGCCAGTCCTCCAGCCGAGTGTGCCCAGCTGGGTCTTGTGTCTCCCCGTCACTGGCTGGGAGCCTCCTGTGGGAAGCGACCTCGGTACAGAGGCGACCTTGGGTTTCCCAGCCCAGCAGCAGGGGCCCTTAATCACAGGGCCTGTGGTCAGAGGTGTGAGATGCCACCATACTCCTTCTGGAAGGGGATGAGAGTGCCTGCCTTACGGCATTATGAGCTAGAGTGGCCTCAAGGGCCTGAAAGTTCTCTAAAAAGAGGAAAGTATGTTATTAATTCCAGGAAGCCTGGGGTTGTGGGTGAGAGTTCTGGGGACCTCCCTGAAACTCTCCGAGGTACCCGGATGTGGCTGAAGCCTCCCCCCTCCAGTCCCCGCTCAGCAGGATCCCCTTCCCTCTCTCCCAGCGGCCTGGGCCTGTCCTCTTTCCAGAACAGGTGAATGCTCCCTGCAGCAACAGTGGACCCAGGAGAGCTGCAGGGGGGACATGGAGTCTAGCACCAGCCAGTGGCTGACGCGGGAGGAAAAGGTGTGATAGTGAGTCACCCTCCCTCCCCTGGGGAAACCACCTCCTAGGACACCTGCCTATTGTGCATTCTGCCCATACCTGTCACACTGCTTTGCAAAACAGGTTTCCCCCACTTCTTTCGCTTTGCAGCTGGGAAATGAAGTAGCGGGAGTCATTACTAAGTTCCCCCAAACAGGAATAGAAAAGCACATACGCTCACTGTTGGGCAGGCAGGAGCGAGAAGACAGGCTCCTGCGTCCTGCAGGGAGGTCCTCAAAGCTTTTCTCCATGTTTCTGTGTCGGGGGCACACTTTTCCCAGAAGCCCTGGGCTTTCTGGGCACTCATATCTCCCTGTCCTGCACATTCTTCTCCTCCCTGCCTTCCCTTCCAGGCTGGGGAACAACCATATCACTGCCGCAGGAGCCCAGGTGCTGGCCGAGGGGCTCAGAGCCAACGCTTCCTTGCAGTTCTTGGGGTAGGTTGGATTCTGGGGCAGAGGGAACGTGCGGGGTGGGGGGGCGGTGGGGGGACCGCGTGGGGGGCGTTGGGGGACTTAGAGGTAGGTGACACGTTTTAGCCGGAAGGCCCCAGAGGCGGTGGGAGAGAGTGGGTGGCCCTTGGCTGCTTTGGTGTTTGTCTTTCACTCAATAAACAGGAAGCTCAGGATGAGCCCGTGGTGGCAGGAAGCCCTCTGGTCCTCGCTGGGTCCAGGGCTGTGCCTCTCGCCTTGTGAGTCCCTCAGAACCACTTAGGAGCTTCTGAAGAATGCCTGGGCCCCACACTAGACTAATTAAATGAAGCGCCTGGGTGCAGGGCTTAGGAATCCGTCATTTTTAAAAAAAGCTCTGCAGAGTTTGTGCGGCCAGGGTTGAGAAGCAGGGTAAGAGATGGAGGTGGACAAGGCTGGAGACTAGCCCCAGGATGGGAGGGGGCTTTGCCGGGTTCTTCAGAGCGCAGGTTGCTGTGGGGTCAGGCCAGGCCTTCCAGGGAGGGCAGAAGAGTCAGACGTGGGCTGGGAGGGCAGTCCCACAGACCACAGGTCCCCACAGAGTGTTGCGGCGGGGGGGGGGGGTGCGAGGAGGGGGGCGTCCTCTGGTTGCCGGGCAGAGTGACCACCCCCCAGGATGGCATCCGTGCAGTCCCCCCTCCCATCCCGCCTCCCCTGGTGTGAGCTAGGGTCCATTGGACGAGAAATGGGGGTTTGAGGACCCAAGGCTGTAGGAAGAGAGACTAAAACCTTAGGGCCCAACCCATTTCATAGGCAGGCGAGCTGCCCACACGCTTGGGAGATCACCTTTCCAAGCTGCGTGCCTTGCCACACAGAGTCCAGCCCAAGCGTGGCCCCAGCCCCACCAAGCTCTCTCCTGCTCGGGGTCACAACTAGTGGATCGGGGGCGTTCTCTTTCAACACATGTTTATTAAGGCACCTGTCTGGACCAGGCACTGTGCTCAAACCTCCAGATGCTATCCTCTGATACAAACTGTTCTGAATATTGGTTTTTTTCTTGCTTAACAATATATCTATCTTTCATACCCTAATGACATCATTTTTGAAAGACAAGCTGCTTAGTATTCCACAGGCTGGATGGCTGTAATCTCTTTAACCGGGCTCCTGTTGAGACACGCTGAGGTTGTTCCAGGTTTTTTGCTGGTTGTTTGCAATCTCCCCCGGGGAACAGAGCGGTGCTGGTGCAGAGCCAGGGTTCAGTAAATATTTACCTGATGAATGAAAGCTCAGTGAACCTCTTAGTTCGGCCACCTTTGCTCACGTGTGCCCAGCCAGGTCAGGGCTCACTCCCCTTGTGTAAAACAGCCAGGTCACAACGTCTGAGTCAGGCCCCACCTTTGAAAAGGGAAACATCCATCCAAACTGCAGGAGTTCTGAGGGGGATGACCCTGGGGGTGAAGGAGTTTGACACCACGAAGGAACGGGGGACACTAGGGAGGAGCGAGAGAGAGAGCGAGCTGGCTTGTGGTAAAAGAGTGAGACTTGTTTTGGGTGGCCCTGGAGGATCGTTGAGGGCCGCGGGGTAGCAGTCCCTGGGAAGAAGGGTCAGGAAAAATGTTAACCCTGTGACTTGTCACTGAGAGGGAGTTCCCTGTCCCTGAGGGCGTGTGCTAGGTGGGCCTCTATTGTTTGGTAAATCTGGCTGAAAAATGTGAGTGTAGTTTGGCCATCCCTCCAAAAAGGTGGAGGTAGGGCCACTTTGCTGGGACCTAGGAGCCCCACTGAGACCATTCTGGAATTGGGTGGTCGTAGCCCCTCCAGCGGGGGACGTAGAGGGGAAGGGCAGGCTTCATGCATGTCTAGAACACACAGCAGTAACTGACCGACTGACAGAATCTGTTGGCATTTTTAGGTTGTGGGGCAACAAGGTGGGTGATGAGGGGGCCCAGGCCTTGGCCGAAGCCTTGGGGGATCACCAGAGCTTGAGGTGGCTCAGGTAAGCTTTGGGGTCTGCATGGCCGTGGGGAGTGGGCATGAGGAGGGAGGAGCCTGGGCCAGTAAGTCCTTCATTTGCTTGAACTTTGTTTTACATCTCCCCCCACCCCCCATGTTAGGCAGTGGGATGAGAAAAAAAGACCCTTGGATTTGGAGTCAGGACACTTGAGTCTTTCTGGGTGACTTTGGAGTATCCCTTCTCCTCTCAAGGGTCTTGATTCTCAGGGGCAACTAGGTGGCTCAGTCAGTTAAGCATCCAGCTCTTGATTTCGGCTTAGGTCATGATTTCAGCGTCGTGAGATCGAGCCCCGCGTCCGGCTCTGCGCTCAGCATGGAACCTGCTTAAGATTCTCTTTCTCTCTCCCTCTGCCCCTCCCCATTCTCTCTCTCTCTTTCTCTTACTGAGAAATATTAAAAAAAATTATTCTAAAATGGGTCTTGATTCCCTATCTATAAATTGAAGATTTGGGGCTGCATCAGATATATTTTATCTCGAGAACCAACTCCAGTCCATTAATAGTGACTACCCAGGACATCATGTCGGGAGGGAGTCTAAGGCTGCTTCCTGTGCTTCATGGAAAAGAGCACTGTAATCAATCAGTCATGTCCAAAATGAAGCCGACTAGGAAGCTGGGCCATAGGTGTCGTGCATTTTGCCCTTCTTGGCTTAGCTTCTCTCTGAGGTCCCTCCCTGCCCTGACACGTTGTTTTTCCTTGATTCCATTCAGCCTGGTGGGCAACAACATCGGCAGCGTGGGGGCTCAAGCCTTAGCATTAATGTTGGAAAAGAACGTGGCACTGGAAGAACTCTGGTGAGATGGGGGGGTCCCCTGCTCTGGGGGGCAGATAACAGTCTTTCTTCATTCCCGGGCCTCCTCCATGGAAGCGGATAAAACTGAGCTGGATAATCAAGCGGTTGGGCTTTTGGGTTTGTCTTTCTCTATGTCCTGGGTGGTGTGACGCATAGAGAGCCTGGCCTGTAGGTGCCGATTCTTTTTATGTAATTATATTTATGGGTTTGTATACTGCTTCCATGTGGCATAATGGTTGAGAGCGGAGACTCTGGAATCCAGCTGGCTGAGCTTCCAGGCCTGCTGTGATCTCAGGCAAGTCATCTAATAATCTCTGCATCCCAGGTTTCTTACCTGTAAAATGAGGGGATGACTGCTTCCAACGGTAAAGCATATGTTATCATACTCATAATGTCTTGTTATTTCTAAGTCGAGTGCCTAAGAACACCAGAGAGTAGAGTGAGGGTCACCTTGGAAGGTGGAGTGGGGTTTGGAGCAAGTTCAAAGGTGAATCATAAATTGTACTTGCATTGTTGACCTGAAACTGATTCTAAGTTTCCCATCCTTTCGATGCCACTAGTCTGGTCTTCATATGACACAGTCTGGGCACTCCCTGATTATATCGGGGAGATCAAACACTGCTTTCTCCAAGAAGTAGAAGGGCATTGAAACCTCTGATCATTGTCACAAAATGGATATTGTGGTGGCCTTGGCTGTCAGCAGGGCTCCCTAGCTCTGCCGATGTCCCATTGATTATACCCCGACTGGACTGTACCACTCGGAAATTCTCATTAGAGGCAGGTCTCACCCTTGGGTGTATCAGTTATGACTACATGATTAGGCTGCAGGGGAGGGAAAAACTCCATGTCCAGTGGCTCAAACCAGTAAAGGATTTATTTTTTTCACGTCTGACCAGTCTGGAGGCCGGCGGCGTGGGGCTGGCGTAATGGCTTCACCAGGTCAGCAGGGGTCGGAGACTCTGTCTCTCTGTCCCTAAAGATCCTCAGTCTGTGGCTTCGCTGTCAAGGTTGGGTGCCGCATGGTCACCAGAGGGCTGCTGTACCTGCAGTACTATTTCTGTGTTCCCAGATTCAGTCTGTATATCCAGGAAGGGCAGGAGGCACAGGCCAGTGAGGTCTGTCTCTTTGAAAGAGCATGTCCATGAGCCCCATCTGCCGGCTTCCCCTTATGTGTTAATGGCCGTGTGGATGTCACTGGCCAACCCCGGCCATAGTGGAGAGTGGGAAATGCAGCTTTTTTTTTTTTTTTTAAATCAAGTACAGGGTTGCCCAAATGGAATGAGGCTTCTGTTAATAAGGAAGGGAAAATGGCTATTAGGTCACCTGGACATGAGGAAGCCTGGGGTGAAGTCTCTCCCAGAGACACCCCTGGGATTGAAGACCCTCACACGCGACTCTCCCGGGTCTCACTTTACCTGTAAATGTAGATTTTCAGAGGTTGGCTTTTCTAACTGGGCGGCAAGCAGGTCAATCCTTACTGACATCCTCTTCTATAATAAATGTTACCGTATCAACCGGATTTTCTGTCTTGTTCTTGCCAGCCTGGAGGAGAACCATCTCCAGGATGAAGGTGTGTGTTCTCTTGCCAAAGGACTTGAGAGGAATTCAAGTTTGAAAGTTCTAAAGTAAGGAACCCGTAAGCAGGAGGTGGGATGATAATGACGGCCTGGTGGGGGGGGTGGGCGGAGGGTGTCTCTGGGCAGCTTCCTGCCTGGCTAACTCACCCAGGCAGGGTGACCTGGCAGAAATTGGCTGGTAGGGTCAGGGATCCCCCAGACACAGATGGGGATTCAATGCAAGTTGTTTACTGGGGAGGTGGTCCCGGCACACACTGGTGAGAGGTCAGTGAAATGATGTGGGGGAGGACAGGGACCCAGTAACAAGTGTGTCATCAAGCAGTTATCACCCCGCTTATCACCGAGGGCAGTGGGGGCTCAGACCTGCTGGGGAGCTCCAGGAGCCTCTACCCAACCGAGGAGCGAGGCAGCAGGGGTGTTTGGCCTGTCCTTCATCGGTGTGCTTGTGGGGATATGAATTTTCCAGCACTTCCGGTTTGCCCTGCACGCGGCCAGGCATGCTCCGGGGCGTCCGTAGAAAGGCCTCAGGCAGAGAGTGGAGGTCTTCCCAGCAAGCAGCCCTCAGAGTTAGAGGGGAAAGCTGAGGGCATATGGGTGCGTTGCCAATGGCATCTGCTATGGGGCTTACAGGACATGCCCCCTCTCCAGGGGCCATCTCTAGCTCTGGCAGATGTCTTCTTCCATCATCTCTGGTGGTTTCTCTTAGGTTATACGGGTAGGCATGCTTGCATTTATTCATGTGTGCATTCATTCATTTCTTTGTTGTACATCCATGACTACATTCATCCATTTATGCATTTATGTTTTGGTGCAAGAAATATTTCCGGAGCGCTCACTGTGCCAGGCACTGTTGGAGGCCCTGAGGATAGAGTGGTAGAAAGAACAGAGCAGGGCGCCTGGGTGGCTCGGATGGTTGAGCGTCTGCCTTCGGCTCAGGTCATGATCCCAGGGTCCTGGGATCAAGTCCCGCGTCGGGCTCCCTGCTCCTTGGAAGGCTGCTTCTCCCTCTGCCTCTCTCTCTCTCTCTCTCTCTCTCTCTGTCTTTCATGAATAAATAAATAAAATCTTAAAAAAAAAAAAAAGAACAGAGTAGGCCTCAGCCCCCTTAGCTCTTAGATTCTAATGGGAGAGGCAGATAATGAACAAGTAAGCAAATACACAAGATTACTTATAATAAAGGCTCTAAAGAGAAGAGAATTCAAGGGAAAGATGTGTCAGGGAGTGTCTGGAGGGGCAAGGTTGCAGCTGCCTGGGAAAGGCCTCTCTGGGAAGGTGGCATGGGGGTTGAAACCTTGAATAATAAGAAAAGTTATTGTTCTTACAATGCTGAGGTCTCAGGAATGCACGCTCTACGTGGACTGAACAGCAAGTGCAAAGGCCTTGTGGCAGAAAAAGCTTGGTGGTTTTGGGAACAGCGGGCAGGGCCTGCATGGTTGGACTGTATATAGGGGAGAGAGGAGGGAGGAAGGGGTGGGGTGAGGAGGCCACATAGGCTTCAGAGCCATGGGAAGGATTTGGGGCTTTATTCTAGGGGCCTTGAGAAGGCTTTGGAGGATTTTAATCTGCGCAGTGACATGATCTGATTTACATCATAACAAGATCATGCTTGCTGCTTTGTGCAGAACAAATGGGAGGAGGGGTAAGACAGAAGGAGGGAGACCAGTCAGGAGCTCCTCCTGTCTTCCAGGCGGGAGATGAAGCAGAGAGACTTGGATCAGGCTGGTGGCAGAGGAGAAGTCTGGTTGAAGGCGGGTTGGCGCTGGTTGGAGGTCCTGCGGAGGGAGGGTCCGGGAGCCGGAGGGCTGGCGGACGGCAGCGCTGGCCAGAAGTGGTGGCGAGCCCTGGTCGTGGGCTCAGCGGGCAGGTCCCCACCCACGAGGACAGGGACGGCCGACGTGAGGAGGAGCCCAGCTAGGGATCATCACGGGCTTGTGCGCGGGCTCTCCGAGGCTGGCGCCGCACCTAGGGTACCAAAGGTCTCACTGGAGAGGGACGTCAGGGCATCCTCAGATGGCTCCTTGTGCGACAGGAAGGGTGGCATCTGCCCTGGCAAATGTGGCCCGTGGAACACGCTCGCCTTCAGAGGCAGGCAGACAGCTGCCTCTGGGAGAGTGTCTGCTTTGCTGCCAGCCCGCCAGCCACTCTGGCAACACTTGTTTGTATTTCTTTGCAGGGGCGAGGAAGTTGTCAAATGTTTGGGGAAAACACTTGTGCCTGTCCCTTGGGTGAAACCGGGCCGGGAGGCCTGGGGGACGCCAGGCTTTGCACACGGGGGGCCGACGGCATACCTGGTTTAGTACTAACCAGGTGCGACGCGGCACGTTCATCCTCCGTCGGTGTCACACACTTAGCCCCGTCTACCCCAAGGGTTGCCAGGTGATGGCAGCAGGGCTTGGCCCATGCTGCCTAGTCCAGAGCCTTAGCATTAAGCACCACTGAATTCCATCGTCCCTCACTGTTTCCCCTTCTTGGGGCGCCTGCGTGGCTCAGTCAGTTAAGCATCTGAGTTTGGCTCAGGTCACAGTCTCGGGGTCCTGGGATCGAGCCCCACATCGGGCTCCCTGCTCAGTGGGGAGTCTGCTTGTCCCTCTGCCCCTTCCTCCTGCTTGTACTCTCTCTCTCTAAATAAATAAAATCTTAAAAAAAAATGGGGGGAGCTTCTTATGTACCTTAAAAAAAAAAAAAAAAAAGCCTGCATCCTTCTTTTTCCAGGCAGAGTGGCTGCCAAATGTTGGTTAAGTGTGTGGGCTCTGGCACCTGGCGGGTTGGGTTTGGACCCCAGCTCCAACATTACCCCCTGTTTCTCCTTGGTTTTGCGCTTCAGTAGCACTGAGTGCAAAGGGGGGTAATAATGGGACCCAGCAGGGGGTGGTGGCTCTTCTCTGCTGTCTCTGACAGTGTGCCTTGTCCCCGCCCAACTGCCAACCTCATATTTTCTCGAATCCATGTCCCTGTGCCTCCCATCCCCACCCCACATGAAAATATTACTGTTCATTGATTATTTCCCATCAGTTGAGTATGGTGCCAAATGCACCACAGAATATGCCATTCTTTTGTTTTAACTCTTAGACTCCACGAGGTAGGTGCTCTTTTAGGTCTGTCTTACAGATGAGGAAGTTGGCATTAATTTGCCTGAGATCAAAAAAGATGCAGTGTAAGTTGGATTGGAACCCAGGGAGTAAAATGTACATACTTAACCCCCATGCCACAGCCCCTTCCTAAGGGAGATACACGAATCTGGGGAACAGAGGAAAGAGCAGTGCATTTCCTTGTAGGCTTTGAACCTTTGTGGATGAGCTTGTTGGGAATCTCAGACAAGAGAGTGACATGTCAAGGGGGCAGGTGGGCTTCTGTAGGCTGGCCAACTCCCAAAGCCTCCTTTAATTGGACAGGCCCCAGAGGAGAGCCAAGCATCCTTGAAGCTCACCCTTCCGTCTTTCTCTCCAGGCTGTCCAACAACTGCGTCACCTACCTTGGGGCAGAAGCCCTCCTGCAGGCCCTGGAAAGGAATGATACCATCCTGGAAGTCTGGTAAGGCCCCTGGGCAGGCCTCTCTGAGCCTCCCTTTTCCAATCTGTAAGATGGGGCCAGGAGAGAGGGGGATCTTATTTTCCCTCTGGGCTCTGACATTCTGTGACATTCTGCATGCAATGGATCTAATCTCTCTCTGGGGAAGATGTTTTCATGCCTCCAAGCGTGGATCAAGTAGTTCATTTTTAAACCCTGAGTATGCAGGAGTGTTTCAGTCCAGGTAACACTGTAGGAGGGGGTGTGGTGGAAGACGGACACGGACACAGGAATTTGGGGGCATTGCGCCTGCATTCCCAGGTCGGGGCTGTTGCCTCTGGGTGGAGGTGACATTGGCGGGGGTGGGGGGATGGGGGAAGGAGGTACTGTTGTACAGTGTTTCCAGATCTTTATTATTAAAAGCCATGTTCCTTCATGTGTTTGAAAAAAGCATTGAGTCACACCTTCAGAGACTTATGCTCCTTCTTTCCAGGGATGTATTTATCACTCACAGAGTAAGTATGAAGGTTCCCCCGGTTTGATGTGTAATGCGTGAATGTCCCACTGTGTGTGTTTCAGGCACTGGGCTATAAGCCAATCTTTTAAAACTAGGAGATTCCCCCATGAAAATCTGTATTTCTTTTTTTTTTTTAAAGATTTTATTCATTTATTTAATAGAGAGAGAGAGAGAGAGAGACAGCGACAGAGGGAACACAAGCAGGGTGAGGGGCAGAGGGAGAAGCAGGCTTCCCGCTGAGCAGGGAGCCCGATGCGGGGCTCGATCCCAGGACCCTGGGATCATGACCGGAGCTGAAGGCAGTCGCTTAACCGACTGAGCCACCCAGGCGCCCCTGAAATCTATATTTCTGAGTTTTCTCCCCAAAGCTTCCAACTCTGGGTCCTCACGGAAAATGCCAGTAAGTAAGCAGAGTAGGGTAGGACTGACTTCACGGAGCTGGGCAGACCGGCTCTTGCTGACTGCACACCCAGCAAGCTTGGCGTCCTGGGCCAGGCCGCTTTGACTGCCTTATGTCTCATCCCTGAGAGCTTGTGACCCCTGCTTCGCATATGCCGACTGACCGGTCTCTCCCTTAAAAATCAAGGCAGCAGCAACAATACATATCGGTTGATGAAGTTAAAAATAAAGACTTGTCGGAGTCTGCCCTGGGAAGAGATTTTTCCTTTCTGTATGATTGTGTAATCCCTGTAGGTCATGACGTCCTCAGGTCCTGGGCAGAGTGTGGGTTTTTGTTTTTGTGTTTGTTTTAAACCATTGCATGGTCATAGGAAATGTCACATTCTGCGTCTCGGGGTGGGGGAGGAAGCCAGCATCATGTTGATATTTTAAGGGTTCTGATGTTATTTGCCGCCTGTTGGCAGAGCTTGGGAGGGCATCAGGGTTTGCTCATTGCTTTCTTGATGAATTCTGCTGTTGCCTTAAAAAGAATCGCCAGCCTTGGGGAGTTGGGGTCGGCTGGGTCTGGGGTGGGTTTTCTCTGCAGAGTCCCAGAGGCTTGCTTCATCACACGCAATGATTCATGAGCCGCCCTGGTGGACCAAGGCTAACACCAGCATGGGAGGGCTGCAGCTGGGCCCCAAGGGGCCAGGCCATGGAGTCCCAGGTTTAGGAAGTAGCAGCCTCCAATTAAAAGCACCGCCCTGGCTCAGCACTCATCCAAACCTCTCTTTGCTTTATCCGCTTTAGGCTCCGAGGCAACACTTTCTCTCCCGAGGAAATTGAGAGGCTCAGCCAGAGGGACACCAGACTCTTGCTCTGAAGCCTGGAGGCCAATGTTTATCTCAGTTTGCGAACAAGCTGTGGGTTTGAATCCCAGGACTTGGATTACATCTGGCAGCAGCCCATTCACACAGAGCCGTGTCCTGCCCAGGCCAGGGCTGGCGCAATGGGTCATCTTTGTTCCAGCAGAGGAAGGAGCCATAGTGCCCTTCAGAGCAGACTTTTCTGCAGCCGACTTTTGCATCTGGTTCTTCCCACGATTCAGTCCATGGAATGTAGCAGAGGGACAGCTCCTGCCGCCGCCTCCAGCTGATCTGACGTGGGTCAGTGGGGCCCATGGATGTTACCGCGTGCCCATCACTGTAGAGACCTAGACCCACAGGAGATGCCCCTTCCCACCTGTCTCGCAATGAGGAGGTAGACTCAGGAAGCAGCTTTCTGCCAGGTTTTAACCCCTGGGTTGTCATCTCTCCAGGCTCTTCCCCACATCCGGTCCCTCCACCCATCCTGGACCCCCACACGGGGCACTTCCTCTGTGGGGAAGGACTCAGAATACTGGTGTTCTCAGCTTTGATATTTATAGCCTTCCCCACCCCACCCCCCACACATACGCAGGGTGGGAAGGGCTATAATTTACCTGCTGCCCTTCCTGATACTTGACCTTATTGAAAGGGGACACGTGACAGCCATTTAGTTCCTCCAGACATTCTAGATTTTCACTTGATCTTAGCCAAAAGGCTGAGAAACGATTTTCAAGAAAAATAAGACCACACTACTGCTAATATCATACGCATATTTTTATTTCCGGTGAAATCAATTAGTCTTCAGTTAAGCCTTTGGAAGCCACTCCCCACCCAAATGCAGTTTTTTAGAATCAGTCCAGGCCAGAATTTTGAGCAGTCCCACCAGGGCTCTGGTTGATGCCTGGGAGCTGGACTCTGACAGCAGACTTGTAAAATATATTCCTAAGAGTTGGTTCAGTGTTATGTGATAGAAAGTTATGGATCAAAAGTTTACAGGGGGCAAAATCAAAGACTTTTCCTTATAGGGCAGATATTTTTCTGGATTTTTTTTTTCCAAATGATGCATGTTGAAGCCTCTGTAAATGGTAGGTGCTGTACAAGTGTTATTATTTAAACATTATTATTTGTGAACACTGGTTAATATAAGCCACTTTGTTTTATTCTCCCCAGTTTGTTTTTATAAAAAACACAACCATGGATTTTATGCTGTAAATAGTCACAGAGAAGAAAACTGTGGAGAGCCCCCCAAAGCTGTCTTCGTTGTGACCAAATATTTAAAAAAAAACATTCCTGAACGTTGCCAGATAGTCAAGCACAGTTTTCTACTTGGAGGGGGAAGAATGATGTTTGGACCAGAAAATGTATTGGTTAGGGCAAAAGCAGTTCTTAGAAATAGGCTTGCAAAAAAACTCTCTGGGCTTTGGCTTAGAAAGGTCTAACCCTGCGTGAAGTCTGTGCAGGAGCCTCGTGGTGCCCCACATGGCTGCAAGGCAAACGTGAGGAGGCCTCTGGGCCTCCCTTGATTCTCTCCCCGTGGCTCCAGGGGTCTTTAGCAGGAGAAGGATGGAGAAGGTTCGGGAACAGCTCTCCTCAGCAAGCAGCCTCCTGGGTAGGCCTTGTTGAAATCATTCTCAGCTGCATTTAATGAGCAAGAGCTCAGGTAGCTCCTCACCGAAGTGAGATCCGCTTCCTGGGAATGTTTTTTTTTTTAAAGATTTTATTTATTTATTTGAGAGAGAGAGAATGAGAGATAGAGAGCACGAGAGGGAAGAGGGTCAGAGGGAGAAGCAGACTCCCTGCTGAGCAGGGAGCCCGATGCGGGACTCGATCCCGGGACTCCAGGATCATGACCCGAGCCGAAGGCAGTCGCTTAACCAACCGAGCCACCCAGGCGCCCTCCTGGGAATGTTTTGTGTGGGCCTGGCTCGTGAAATGCTGTGGCATCTCCGTGGGCTCCTGTGCGTGAGCTTGCCTGTGGGCTCTCTGTTGGTGGTGGCCAGTCTGCTGTCCTGATACAGAAGATCAGGAGGAAGGTGGAGATCGATGGGCCTGCTTTCCCTGAGGAGTAAACACAGCAGTCCATGTGTGTGGCGGCGACTTGGATTGTAAATTTCGTTTTCCTGAAATTCATTCAGCAATGATTTATGGGCCAGGTATGTTAGGACCATGATGGATGAACACAACAGACAGGGTCCCTATCCTCAAAGCACTTAGGTTGGGGGGAGGTGGAGAGGTGGGCAGAAAACTAGTGAACTGGAAGATATAGAAAATAAGGTCCACTGTGGTAAGTGCTAGGAAGGAAATAAACAGGGGCGCCTGGGTGGCTCAGTCATTACGTATCTACCTACAGCTCAGGTCATGATCCCAGGGGCCTGGGATCGAGTCCTGCATCAGGCTTCCCGCTGGGTGGGAAGTCTGCTTCTCCTTCTCCCACTCTCCTCAACTCACACGTGTGTGTGCTCTCTCTCTCTAAAAAAAAAAAAAAAAAAAGGAAATAAAGGTTCAAGATAGAGGGGAACCTTCAGATTGGGGATTGGGCTGAGACACATAAGCTGGGACCCTAAGAATGAGAAGGGTCTGGCCTTGCCAAGAGTGAGGGGGCTTGTTCACCGAGGACAAGCTGCATGAAGACCGTGTCATGGGGAAGAGCTTGGTACATGTAGTAGGCTGAATAATGGCCCCAAATATTTAGCTCATTCCTTGAGCCTGTGAATGTTGCCTTACGTGGCAAAAGGGACTTTAAAGAAGTGATAAAGGGGTGCCTGGGTGGTTCAGTTGGTTAAGCATCCAACTCTTGATTTTGACTCAGGTCATGATCTCAGGGTTGGGAGATCACCCGAGCCCCACATCTGGCTCCATGCTCAGTGGGGAGTCTGCTTGAGATTCTTCCTCCTTCTCCCTCTGCCACTCCCCCCGCTCAAGCTCTCTCTCTCTCTCTCAAAAAAAAAAAAATGATTAAGATGAGGATCTTGGCTGGGGTGCCTGAGTGACTCAATCGGTTAAGTGTCTACCTTTGGGCTCAGGTCATGATCCCGGGGTCCTGGGATTGAGCCCCGCATCGGGCTCCCTGCTTCTCCCTCTGCCACTCTCTCTCTCTGTCTCTCATGAATAAATAAAATCTTAAAAAAAAAAAAAGATGAGGATCTTGGGATGGGGAGATTTTCCTAGATTATCCAAATAGACCCTAATTGCAACCACAAATGTCTTTATTGAAGAGAGGCAGAGGGAGATTTGACACAGAAGAAGAAGGCGGTGTGACCACTGAGGGAAGATGCTAGACTGCTGGCTTTGAAGGTGGAGGAAGGGCCCCACGGGCCAAGGCGTGCCCTCTGGAAGCTGGAAAAGGCAAGGACACAGGTTTTCCCCTAGAACCTCTGGAGGGAGCGCAGCCCTGCCGCCACTGTGGTTCCAGCCCATTTTGGATTCTGGCCTCCAGGACTGTAAGAGACTTAATTTGTGTCATTTTAAGCCACCAAGTTTGTGGTAATGTGTCACAGCAGCCACAGGAAACAAATATGTTTAAGGCAAGCTAAGGGGCGAGTGTCACTACATGGGTTCGGGGAGGTAGGTAGGGCCAGTTCAGGAAGCGCCTAGTTGACCATGGTCAAGGCCTTGGGCTTGATCTTAGAATAATGGCAAGCCATTGGAGAGTTCTAAGCAGGATCAGTGTGACCCAGTGACATTTAAAGAAGACCGCTTTTGCTCCTGGGTGGAGAAGGGACTGGAAGGCATAGGGGTGAGATGAACAGAAAAAGGAGAGACCACCTAGGCGCTATTGCAGGTGAGAGGCAGTTGTTTTAATGTGGCGTCAGCAGAGGTGGAGAGAAGAGGATGGATTCCAGAAACGTTCTAGGAGTCGATTCCTGAAGGTTTACAAATGGAATGGATGGGAGAAGAGGGGGAGGGGAGACTCAAGGCTCCTCAGTTTTTGACTTGAGTAACCGGGGCACACCATCCTGGTGGTCAGGGAGGAAGACAGATGGGAAGCCAGCTTGGAAGCAGGAGGGGCTTTGTTTTGGATGGTCAAGTTTGGGACACCTGCGTGATGTCAAGCGGAGACACCAAGTTATGCTGTGAGTCTGGAGCCCGTGGGAGAGGTCATTGCCAGGTTTAACAGCATGGGTGTCCTCAGCCTCTAAAGGGGAATGGGGTCACTGGGCCTGGATGTCATAACCCACGGAGAGATTATGGAGAAAGAAGAGTTCAAGAGGGCCCAGGGAAGGGTGCCACTGGGACCTGGATACGTGCTTACTGTCAGAGCTCAGAGTAGAGGCTTCTTACATTTCCAAAGTCTAGCAGATCCACCAAAAGCATTCTGGGCCTGGGCGGGTAACTTGCAAACAAGTTAGCCGACTTTCCAGAAATCACTTTGCAGAACAGGAGCAGACACATTCTAGATTGGTGGCTGAAAATACATAATTCTTATGTGCAGACAAAAAAAAGTACCAGAGCAAGAGAATTTTTTAAAAGAGCTTCAGAGACTTTTAATTATATTCACCATCATCCTAGAAGAAAAAAAAAAATGTCAATCTGAGTGCTACCCCCCCCGGCCCCCCCCCTACATAGCGCCAAAATCAGATACTGGAACGAATACACCCCGCAGAAAGTGTGGGAGGTAGAATCACATTCTAAGCAGGCTGAGTTGAGACTACATACAGCATCATTTCATTATTGCACCAACACATCTTCACGCCTCCATCCCCACTCAGGAGATGGGTGCAGCCCAGCGGGTGAAGCACACAGCGGTGGGGGCGCACACTCTGGTAGTGCCCGCACCCGAGGGAACACATAGGCTCGGGCCCTGGGGAGCAGGTTTCAGGTGAGCGACATCGGGGCCATCCTGGAGAATTACATGGGGAGAACCTTCAGCTGTGCGGACAGGCAATCTGAGATCGTTGGATTCTCCAAGATTACTTTTTATTTTTTGCTCTAAATTTAATCCCATCTATCATCACTTCCAGAACAACCCACAGATCCAATCCCCTAGGCATCATCCCTCCCTTATCAGTCACCCTGAAAATCCCTCCCCTCCCTTTTGTACTTGGAACAACTTTCTTGACATCGTCAGTTCCGCATGCCCCCCCGCCATGTGCTCTCTCCCACCCCCAGGAAAGAAGGGCCTCCTTAGGGGCCCACCCTTACCTGGATGACTACATGAGTGTCTTAACCGGCCTGCCTGCGGCCCCTGACCCACAACGTCAGCCTGTTAAAAGGTAAGTCCGATGAATCACTGCTCTGATCAAAATGCTCCAGAACTTCCCAATCTAGCCCAGGGTGAAAAGTCAAGTTCCCATCTTGGCCTGGCCCACCCCTGTGTTTTCATGGACCTCCCCTCTGCCACTCCGACTCCCGTTCCCTGCACTCCAGCCACATGGCTTCTTGGCCACTCCTTGACAATGCAAACTGCATCCAGACCTTTGCACTTGCCTATTTCCTCTTACAGGAACACTCTTCCGGAGACAGTGGCCTGGCTGGCTTCCTCATTTACAGCAGGTCTTTGTTCAAGTGTCAGCTCAACAAGGGACTCCTTCCCTGAACCATCTACCTCAAATAGCCGTCCCTGACCACTCTCTCCTCCTCAGCCCTGCTTAATAGTGTCTTCCCAGCACACACCACCTGACGTATGTGTGTTTCTTCCTTCCCCTAGAATGTCAGCTCCATGAGTACAAGAGCCATGCTTGCTGCAGAGTCCTCCAGGGCTAGAAGAGTGCCTAGTGCATAGTCGATGCTCAGATATTTGTTAACCGAATGGAGAATCAACCTGCCTAAAGGAGGCAGAACATAGAAGTTGGGGAGGATTGTAAAAACGAATCACCTCTTTCCTAATACCATTGGTGTCTCCTTCCTAAGGGAGGAAGGTTTCCTGCCACATGAGATCATTCCTAATGTATTTACTGCCCCAAATGGGATTCCAGAGGTAGCACAAAGGTCCCAATGAAGAGCATTAGACCCCTTTTCTCTGTGGGTGTGTTTTTTAAATCACGCAGAGATCATTTGTCATTGATATCGGCAAATAGCTCAAATGGGAGCATGGATTTATAGTTCAGCAGGATTGGGGGAAAGATGATTAAAGTAATCCCTTTTATCTTATCAAAAAGAGCTTTAGGGTGACCAGAGTAAAAGCCCCCACACAGAATGTTCAGTTGTACCTGCAGATCCACACCCCCCCAACTCCCCACCTCTGAGAGACAAGCACATCCTTGGTATGGCGGACTCTCCACTCATCCAGTGACTGAAACACCGTGCTGGGCTGTAGGGAGAAAGCACCCATGCAGTATCCTTGCCTGTGGGGACGCCTGGTCCAGTTAGCCTCGTGGTTCGGAGCTTATTCATTAGCCCCATGGTTTAGAGCTTATTCTGAATGCCCCTATTCCCCGGAGTGGTGGGGAAACGGCTGGAAGCATGGGAAGCTGGCTGAACAGCTAGGAGTTGCCATTTCCTGGGATGGGGAAGGCAGAAGGACTTAGGTGGGAGTGGAGGAGTATCAGGAGTTCACTTTTGGCTGTGTGGAGTGGAGGTGCTGAGCAGGCAGTAGGACCTAAAATACTGAATTTGGTGAGGCTGGAAGTAAGAGGTAGCCTGTGGTAGCCATTTGGGGAGCACGGGGCAGGGTCTAAGAAATGACCGTTGCTAGCGCTACTGACATTTGGTTGGGTCCTGCGCAGGTGTTACTCCAACTCACAGGTCCCTACCAGGCGACCAGGTTTCCAGCTCTTGGGGCGCAGAGCTCAGTTTAATCCAGTAGCTTTTTGTTGGGTTCCTGCTGTGTACAACAGGAGCTATGGGAGACAGTTTAGAATCAGCATTAACTACCCTATTAAAACCCTTCAGCAGGATCCTGCTCTTAAGCTAAAGACCAAAACTTGACTCCCAAGGCCCTACCTGAAGGGCTCTTTTGTGCTCACATTTACTGTGCTCTGCCTCTTTCAGTTCCTTCAGTATGTCACGCACAGTCCTGTTCCCTTTGCCGGAAGTGCTCCCTTTCCCCCTCGGCTGCTAGTGGTCTTTCCTACTTCATCTTACAGGTGACTTCCTCAAATAGGCCTTCCCTCAGTGCCCAACCACCTCTCATGTGTGCTCAGCACAGTTCTCCTTCTGGGGCTCACCCTACTCTCTGTAGTTTAGTAAGTGATCTTGTAGCTAGTCCTTTAAGGTCTGTCCTTCCCTGCCAGAGGGTATGGATGGCATCTCTCTTGGACACCCCTGGGTTTCTTGGTCCCTGCTCGGTAACCTAACCAGCAGTTGTGTGGATCCAGGCCAGGCTGAGTGGAACAGGCTGTGAGGTGGTAGAGAAACAGAGGGGATCAAGCAGGGCCTGGAGCCATCTGCAAGGACCCTTGGAAGAGGGTGGACTTTGGTTAGGCCTGAAACAAAGGGAGGATTGGAAAGCAGAGACGATAGGCATTTCAGTTGGAGAATCTGTTTCAACCGAGCTGGAAAGAGCCCTGACTTGAAATCAGGAGAACCAGGGTCTCAGCTCATCTCCTGGGTGACCTGGGACAAGTTATATTCCCTCTCTGGACCTTAATCTCCTCTCTGTAGAAGGAGAGACTGGCTTAGCAAGGATGGCAAATAATAGCAGCAAGACACTATTCCCCAATCTTATCCCCTGGCAGACATCTCTTTTCCCTGAGAGCCTGAATACAGTTTTAGAATTGTTTTCAACACAATGTTCTAGACAGTCATTACCAATTTATGGGAGATGGTAATTGAGATAAGCCCTGTTTATCGGGCCTGGCTTGGAAGAGTATCTCTTGGATGAAGTCAGGCTTTGACACTGTCTGATTCAAGGAATGGGTCGCAGGAGGACTGAGCAAGGGCTCCGACAGCTACAGGTAGGGCGGAAAGCAGTGGGCTCAGCAGTACCAAATACCATCATCAGAAAAGGCTTGAAGACGTCTTCGTCCTGTGGTGGCAAAGTGACCTTCGGGGGCCAGTAGAGAATGAACGTAAAGGAGAGAAATATGCCAGGTGAATAAATATGGCAGGTGAATAAACTAGGGATGGGGAGCAGTGTGGCAAATGGGGGAAAGGGAGACTGCCCTGTCTTAAAGGATTCAAACTCTTTCTCTCCCATTCCACTTCCTCTTCTCCTTCCTCCTCCTCATTGTATAGGTCAAGCAAGAATGTCTTCAGGCTGAATTGCTCGCCTAGACAGCCAGACGGTGACCTCTGAGTCCTCCTGACTTTATTGGAGAATCTAGACCTGGGAGGGAACTGTGTCGCCTAAGGCCACACTGTGAGCCAGGCCTGTTGATTTCCATTTTATTGCTTTCTACAGCACTGTGGGGTCTTGAAGCTTGGGACACAAGATAGGGACGAATGAAAGAGACACAAGAGTGGGTTGAGGCTTAGGTTTTCAAAAGATGTCCATTTCATCCTGGGTGCTTATGGCAAGGGAGGTGGGTGGCCTGTTTACTAGTACTGTTAGTAATCACTCATGTGACTTCTTTTATGCACTCACTGGTTTAAACTGCCCAGATCTTCAGAAATGTCACTTTCCACTGGGGAAATTTTCCCTCTCATGATTAAATACACACACCCCTCTTCTTTCCTCAGTATTAATCACCTTCTCCTGTAATTGGTACTTAAAATGTCAAAGGAGAAGGAATTAATTAACAGGAGTATCCAGTGCAGCAAGGCATGCTATGTGGCAAGGCTCTGGGACTGATTATAAAAAGCACTTCCTTAAATATTTTGAGCACTTTTGGGAATCAGAAACCTCCCTTCTAATTGAAAGATCCTTAACTACACCCCAAGTCCTGGCTGGTGGCCAGGGGTACAGAGCTGAGTGAGGCAGCGAGTGGAAATCCCGTCTTCGCCACCCTAGGGACACCTCCCTCCAAACTGGGATAGGTGGCAACAGAGGTTTCGAAACAGCAGAGGCCCCGGGCCGAATCTGACGGAGGAGAAGAGATTCAACACGACTGAGCTCCGTAGGTAAACTACGGTGTTTGGTGTTTCACAACAGTTCTGTAGGACAGGTGATGACTATCTCCATTTTACAGATGAGGATACTGAGGCTTAGCGTGGTCGTGAGATCCTCACGTCACGAGGCTACTAATTGAAAGCGCAAAGGATTGAAACTTAAGTCTGATTCTAAAGCTTTGCTTTTTCACGGAATCCTGAAATCCTATTCCCAGCTCGTGTCACCCCAGCCCCAAACTCCCCGCAGGAGTTTTGACAGCTAAGCCGAGAGCCAGCACCCGGGCCTGGGAGGTGGAGCGGGGAGCAGCACAGCGCCCCGCCCCGGCTCCGGTGTCGACCAATGGTAACGCGGCACCCACAGTCTTCTGTCCAATCAGCCAGAGCTCCCCGCCCACCTCCCCCGCTCCTCCTCCCCTCCCCTCCGCTTTCCCTTTGGCTCGACCGAGCTTGACGGAGCGGAAAGTCCCTTCAGCGGGCTCCGGGCCGGCAGCCATTGGAGGAAGGTCTGTTACAGGGCTGCCCAATCAGAGCGTGCACAGAAAGGCACCTCGGGCTACGATTGGTTAGTGCGGCGGTTGCCCCCTCGCCCCCCCACCTCTCTCTCTCTGTCTCTCTCTCTCTCTGTCTCTCTCTCTCTCTTCCCCCCCCCACCACGGGAGGCTCGGAGGCGGGGCAGGTGGGGGCGGGCCCAGGTAGCAGGTTCGGCTGCGCCGGGGCCGCGCGTCGGAGGTAAATATTAAGGCGGTGGGTGTGGGGCGCCGGGGCCGGAGTGGGACGCTGGCTAGCGAGACTGGGGAGGGGGCGCCGCTGCGCCACCCGAGGTGTGAGTGAGCAGGCTACTGAGGCGGCGAGCAGCGGACGGCTGGGTCCCCTCGGGCGTCCCTCCCCGGCCTCGGGGGGCCTACAGCCGCCGCCGCGGCCGTCGGGCCCTCGGCGCCGGCCCGTTAGTTTCCCTGGCTCGGAGCCGGCAAGGCCCGCGGGGTGCTGAGCTCGCTGACGTCAGCCCGGGCTTCCCCACCCCCGGGGCTTCCCCCCCCCCCGGGCTTCCTGAGAGGGCTCCCGAAACATGGGAGCGTGGTCGCCGCCGCCGGGACCTCCGGAAGAGAGAGCACTTGGGGTGGGAGCCGCGCAGGAGACCGTCTCCCCCGCCGGCCCCCCCATTTACAGTTGGGGAAACTGAGGCGCGGGCCGCTGGCCGGCTCCCGACGGCCTCCGTTGGCCTCGAGAGCCCTGGGCTGTGATATCTCCTCTTTCCTAGCCGAGGGGCGTATCGATCGGTCGGTTTGGGGGTGTTTGTGGCTCCTGTCCGGGAAGAGCAGTCGGGGTTCTGGCCCCGTTAATGGCGTGTTCTGCTTTTTCTTTCAGTTTCCCCCTTTCCAGGCTGAGGATGGTCTTCTACAACCTGGAGTTCTTTAGTTGAAAGGTGCGCTCTGTCGAAACGAGGTATTCTTTTCCTTCCTTTTGTTTTTCTTTATAATCATGTTAACGATCTGTGGGGAAATCGGGAAGTCTTGACAGAAGATAGTGTTCCTGGATTTGTTTCTCAGCTGGGTCAGCTGCCCGGTTATTCATGTACTTGGCATCTTTTCTATTCCACCCTGTGGCATTTGCATGTTTTAGGATGGTTGTCATCTTCCAGCCACCAAGCCTTTCAGTCTCTCAGCTCCCACCATCCCTGCCCCCATCCTCTCCCCGGTCTCCCTGGAAAGTTGGATCCTTAGCTCAGCTAAGGGGCATTCCTTACCTTGCTTTTGAATTCAGGCTAATAGAGATCTTAATAAGCTTGTTCTTTTTGCAGTCATTGGCTCCCGGAGAAAAACCCAGGCCTTGAGGGAGGGTGTTCATTCAAGTGTTGGTTTTCTGCACACCCCCTCACGCCCCAAGTAGACTGAATGGCCCTGAGGATTAGGCTGCCAATTCCCCACTCGGTAGTGGGTGGATTTGAGCTAGAACAGTATTAGGAGAAAATGATTTGCTGGGAATTCTTGTGGAAGTTCGTGTACTGTGAATGTTGATATCACCCAGAACATTCTCTAATGTTCTGCTGCAAAATGTTATAGTATTCCGGTGAAGAAGCCTTCCTGTGGATGGTAACTTTTGTGAAGAGCTGATAAAACCAGGGCACTATTATGTAAAACAAACATTCAGCAGCAGTGATTTCTCATGGTCTGGCATGCCTGAACTGTGATTTTTGCTTGACTTATGGAAGTCCTTATCGTAAGAAGAGAGAAAGGATTAATTATGCTATTCATCAAAAGATGAGTATTTTGTTCCCTGATTTCCACACGTTCTTCTTAAATTTGTCAAGGTATTTTCATTGGTTACACAGAATTTATAGGTATTACACATGGTGTGAAGATCTAGGAAACCAGTTTCAAATGAACCTCAAAACAACTTGTTTTGGTAATTGTGAAATTTGTCTTGTTTTTCTCATATGTGTAACAATGCAGTGGTGGTAAACATTAACCATGACTTAATTTATTCTGAGAGGTAGTATATATATATATTTTTCCTGGAAGATGTGCTTTTAATCACTTAAACAATTAGGATGAGGAAATGGAATTTTGGCTTTCACTTTTATCACCTGAGTTAACCAAATCATTCGGTCATTTCACATGTACTGAATGCTCATTACACGTCAGACAGTGGTTTGGACTGGAAATACAAAGATGAAGGACTTGAGGGGTTCCCAGTTTGGAAGTGTAGTGGCCGGGCTTAACTCTAGGGAGACGTTGGGGTTCCTTGTTCTTCCGCCGTGAATATACATGCAGATGCAGGAGCCAGACTCTTTTTTAACTTTGTAAATCCCGCTTGTTTTAGGGACGGAATACTTGTGCGCTTGGGATACAGTATGTGAGGAAAGATAAAGCTGACTCTCTTTTCTGGTCATGGAATCTGTTTTTCTGTTTTTAGCTGTTTAGTGGTATAAAAACTTGTTCTTTTAGTGAGAGAGATTCTTCCTTAAAATGGTGATTATTCTAGCCATCCAGAAGCTTTTGGAAAAAGTCCTATGTGTCTTCTTTCTTTGGTATTCATGCTGACCTTCCTGTCTCTTTGCCACCTTTATAATTGGGGGCAGAATTTTAGTATTGTAAGTTTTATTCTGATTTAGATAGTCTTGTGTGGTTTTTAGAACAAGTTGGGATATTTGAGAAGATGCAAAAACGTTCTTGAATTAGACCTGTCTTTGTTTTCTCTCGTGAGGTTCTATGAGCAGTATAACCTGATAGCCCGAGAATTAAAAAGACATTGTATTTTCTAGACAACCATTGTCAATTGTATGTAGCTAACGTTGTTCATGTGTACTGTATATTATCTTTTAGAATGTGGTAATTTTGACCTTTAATATTTTTGTATAAAACATATTTCTTGACCCATCTTTTCATTGTGTCGATAGGAAACTGATAAATATTTGTCTTTCAACCTTCATCTTGGTTTAATGGTTTTATTTTAATACAGTTAAACTCTTATTTGTTCAGAATCCAGACCCTCAACAAGCTCAGATAACCAGATGTATTTTCAAGTCTTTGTGACCCTGAACCATTCCCTCATCTCGAATGTTGTCAGAGGAAAGGCCTTTTCTGTTCAGTATGGTTTAGGGTTAAATATATCATTGCATTCCACCTCTTTGGTAATTTTCATTCAGTACTTAGAGTAATGATCAGGATATTCATAATCACTCAGTTTTCCAGCCTGAAATAAGTGCAAGGGCATTTAGATGAATCATTTGTGATATATTTACACTCAAAGTGAGGTATACTATTAGAGGTAATTTTAAACGAATTAGACCTGAAAGGTAGTAAGAAAACATAAAGTAGGGCAGTTATCATATCTTAAATCTGCCATACTTCTCAGCATCTAACACTGTGCTGAGTGCACAAAAATACTAAACAAACTAACAAACCTTAACTGATAAAGAACTCATTGACAATGTTATTTAAATCTTTCCCATATAGTCTTTAGTTTTTATTGCTTGGGGTTCTTAAGACTTAATCTAACTGTTGTGCATATCCCACTGAAAGAAGACCATTGTCGGGCGCCTGGGTGGCTCAGTCGTTAAGCGTCTGCCTTCGGCTCAGGTCATGATCCCAGGGTCCTGGGATCGAGTCCCACAACAGGCTCCCTGCTCAGCAGGAAGCCTGCTTCTCCCTCTCCCACTCCCCCTGCTAGTGTTCCTGCTCTCGCTGTGTCTCTCTCTGTCAAAAAAATAAATAAAATCTTTAAAAAAAAAAAAAAAAGAAGAACGTTGTCATTCTATTCATTTCTACAGCGGAGGAAAGTCTCTTTATTAACCTATTTCTGCTGTAATGGCAGTATATTGAGATATTCACGACCATTAAATTTATTATCTTGTATAGCTCTGGAGTCATAAAGTTCCCCATTCACCTTTCTCGAACTATCAGTTGCAGTGATGAGAATCAGTGTTTAATACGGTAATTCCAAACTTATTCTTTCTTATTGTGTACTTTCTAAAAGAGGAAAGGCCACAGGCTTTTTATTTTTGGATAATGCTTTTTAAATGTTTTATAAACTTTTGCTCTGGTTCTTCTAGTGGTCTAACACGACCCCTGCTTTTACTGAGGTGAAGCTCACTCCCACTTGTGCTAACGCAGGTTCGAGCAAAGCTGCTCCTGTGTGTTTGCTGTAAACTGTGGTTCTTAATGATTGTTAAGTTGCCTTCCACCTTTTTTATAATCCAAAGGAATTATATTAAATTTTACTGTGGACTGTCTCTTAAATGATTAGCAAATAACACTTCTGTAATCAAATTCATTTAAAACAGTGTCCTAATGCATTACATACAGTGATTTAATTTTGTCTTGGTAATATTTCATTACCCACTGGTGGGCTTTGTTTTAAATCATGACATGACTTGTTAAGCTGGGGAACCAATGGAGTAGAAATCATGGACATATAATAGTAAGATTCAAGGATGTTCTTAATATTTGAAGGTGTAATTTTTAGGAATTTTAAAAAGTAATTTCTTTTCCAAATAGAATTACCATACTTGAAAAGCAATTTTTGGCCAAAAATATTTAAATACATTTAGAAAGAGAACAAAGCAACTCCCTTTTTTGGAAATTGCTTTGTGACCATCTCCACCTTCTGGGAGTGACCCAAACAAGTCCATGCAGTAAAGCTTCTGCACTTCACAACTAAAAGGCTGTTCAGAGTTTATGTATACCTCTTTAGTTATTGTTTTGTTTTTTTTTTTTAAACAAACATATTTCATCCCCTGGCTTCTCAGAACTGATCAGAAGCCGTAAGGTGGAAAGCAACAAGGCCATAAAATGAGTCAAATGCACCCTGGAGGAAACCACAGAAAATGGCTGATTGCAAGGGAAAATCAGGGACTGTAAATCTATAGAAAGCAGACACAGGAACTCAGAAAGCATAACGTCAAGCCTTTTAACAAAGTCACAAACATCTTTGTGTTTTGAGAATCACATGAGAGCTTATACTCATATTGATAATTCGATGATTCAGAAAATAGTATTTCCTTGTTGACATTTGAGAAGAACTTTAGTAAGAAATAACACATACTTCATTTTGGTACTTTAAAGGAGTACAGCCAAATTAAGGGTTTAGGTCTCTGTTTGGGTAGCCTTTATGAGGGATTTTGTTTATAATTGTGCCAAGATAGGGGTTTCCACAGGTGTCTTATGTAAGTGACAAATATAAATTGATTCTCTTCCTGCTGAAGTAGACAGTGCCCTCAAGTGGAATTAAGACAAACACATTATAAAGAAAGGGAAAAAAAAAGAGAGGGAGAGAGCGAGAATCACTTTACACCAGCTCTGCCCCTGCCTTTAGAATGTTGCACAGATATTTCAATAATGTTGGTTTAAAGGGATGCCAAACTTTTTATCCTCTCTCAGGTAACTTACGTGTCTCATTCTGGGTTGTAGAGGGACAGACTTTTAACAAAAACTAGACCAATTGTAGAGTACCTCATTATCTAACGATGCAGTCCATGTGTAGATTTGCCAGATTATTTAATCATTACGTTAAATTATTAAGCTTAAAATATGGTTCTTTAGTTTTAGAAGTACTTATTTCTAAATTCCAAGAATAAAATAGACAAATATGATAGTGCCCTCAACTGCTGCTGTGAAATGGAATGGAAATGGATACCTCTACCTCAAAGAAGGATGGAAGGGCTCCTGGGTGGCTCAGTCGGTTAAGCGTCTGACTTTTGATTTCAGCTCAGGTCATGATCTCGGGGTTGTGAGATCGAGCCCTGCGTTGGGCTCTGCGCTATGCATGGAGCCTGCTTAAGATCCTCTCTCTCTTTCCCTCTCCCTGCCCCCCTCCCCCAAAAGAAGGATGAAATAAGTAACTGTATTTAGAAACCAAATGGCCACACTCATGTGACAGAAAATACATAAGAACTTTTTTCAGTAAGATAATTATTAAGATGAACTAAATCTTATTTTGATTTGACAAAATTATATCGTTTTTAACCATCATTTAAAGTAGGATTGAGAAGGCTATTTTTTTTTATCAAAAGATTTTATTTATTTATTTTGACAGAGAGAGAGAGGGACAGTGAGAGAGGGAACACAAGCAGGGGGCGTGGGAGAGGGAGAAGCAGGCTTCCTGCCGAGCAGAGAGCCTGACCTGGGGCTTGATCCCAGGATCCTGGGATCATGACCTGAGCCAAAGGCAGACGCTCAATGACTGAGCCACCCAGGTGCCCCAAGAAGGCTATTTTAATTGTGAAAGATTAGTATTGTAAAAATTTTAGATGAAAACTTGAAACTGAAAAAGAAATAATCTTTTTGTATTCGTTTCTAGGATAACATAGTTAAAATTGTGGTATAAAAATTTTTATATTTGTTACTGTATTAAAGTTACATTTCTTGTTATGTAGTCCAAGTTTTAGTGGCTACAAAATTGATTTTTAAAGACATCTTTACTATAATCAGATTTATACTATCTGAGATTTTGAGAAATTAGATGATGGCTCTGATTAATATGATTAACATTTGCCTAAGGACAAAATGTACATGATGAAGGAGATGAAACTGGATCAGAGGGCAAATAAATGATCCATTATCAAAACATGGAACACAGATAAACAAATCGTGGTTAAAGTTTCAGAATATGATTCATCATTTTTTTTTGATAAAGGATGTTTATCATAATAATTATGGTGGGTAACTTTTACTTAAATGGTGTGTACAGAAATAACAGCCTTTTTGATTTATGTGTGTTTTGCCAAAATACAGCAACTTATTCATTTAAGTTAGGCAGGATCTGTTAAAAATGCTACTTTTTAAAGTTAAAAAAATATATATATTTAGATATGTATATAATGTTATCTGTTACTCGAATTTAATTTTGTAAATTTCATTGCTTTGGAAACAAACATTGTATTGTCTTTGAAGATACTTTACAATTGGATCTCCTTAATTAAAGATGCAAAATTACAGTAGATACAAGTAATGTATGTCTTTTAACCTTTCTAGGTACTTTTGGAAGTTTCATTTATGTGTGTGTTTTTACTAATCGAATGAGATCTTAAGAAGTCTTTAATCTTAATTTTAGCTCATGTAGAATAAAGTGTAAAGTTTCTTTTTGCTTGTCCTCCAGGCATTTTGCTTTGCTGTCTTTTTACAGCATGGACACCAAATTGCTAAAAACGTGCTTTGGGACTGCCAGTGAATTTATCTTTTGTGGTTTTACTACAAACTTAGTAGTTCCCTTTTTTTTGAGTTAATGTTTTGGAGTTAATGTCACAATGAGTTCAGGCTTATGGAGCCAAGAAAAAGTTACTTCACCCTACTGGGAAGAGCGGATTTTTTATTTGCTTCTTCAAGAATGCAGTGTTACAGACAAACAAACACAAAAGCTCCTTAAAGTACCAAAGGGGAGTATAGGACAGTATATCCAAGATCGTTCTGTGGGGCACTCGAGGATTCCTTCTGCAAAAGGCAAGAAAAATCAGATTGGATTAAAAATTTTAGAGCAACCACACGCAGTTCTCTTTGTTGATGAAAAGGATGTTGTAGAAATAAATGAAAAGTTCACAGAGTTGCTTTTGGCAATTACCAATTGTGAAGAGAGGTTCAGCCTGTTTAAGAACAGAAACAGACTGAGTAAAGGCCTCCAGATAGATGTGGGCTGCCATGTGAAAGTACAGCTGAGATCTGGGGAAGAAAAATTTCCTGGAGTTGTGCGCTTCAGAGGACCCTTATTAGCAGAGAGGACAGTGTCGGGAATATTCTTTGGAGTAGAATTACTGGTAAGTTCGATAAACTGTTTTAGTGGGCTGTGTGTGTGTGTTTGTTTCTGTGTATATTTGTATGCCCACCTGTATTTTTTTTCCCCTTTATATATAACAAAAAAGTTTTTCCAGAAATCTTCTGTAATTTTTAATGTTCATAATTCTTAGGATTTACTTTCTAATGATAAATTGAGATGATGCAAAGATGATACATTGCAAACTTTTTTAAAAAACAACCTACTATGGTAGGAAATACACATAGATCGTGTAATTATTCAAGGCTTTCAGATCTTAGAAATTTTAACATTGCCTATGTTAAAAATGGGGAACTTTACCGGTTATAACTGAATTACTCAACTCACAAATTGTTAATTTACTTGTGACATTAGCATCTGTAGGTTTCTCAGTTTTTCTTAGTGTGTGCTATTAAGTAATGAAATGTAGCTCTAAGATTTTAGAAAAGTAAGGTGCAGCGATTTAAACGTGCTTTTGCTCGTCCCTCATAATATATGTGAAAATTGTCTTGGAATTTTTTTCTACTAAAGAGGGAACCAAGAACTCTGTGATACATTTCCAAAATTAATATTAATTTGCAAGAACTTAAATGTCAGTTACATTTTTACCTTTTTGCATATAGGATTTCATGCCTTATTTAGTGATTAAAGTTTTTAAAGCAGCGATTGTAGAACAACTGGAGATTTGAATCCCAGTTATGCTTTTTACTAGCTGGGTTGACAGGTTACTTAACCAAGCCACTTCCCTAAATCTGCTTCCTCATCTGTAAAATAGTGAAACCAGTACATACCTTGAAGTGTTTTTGTGATAGGCTGATTCAAGAGTTAGTGGGGTGGCTGGCCCATAGTAAGTACTCAGTAAATGGAGCTAATGTTATCGTTATTTTAAAGTGAATTTTTCTTTTTATGGCAAAATTATTGTTCAAATCACAGTGTAGGATCTGGCCAGGCTCTCTCACAGTGGAATTATGATTTTAAATTTGATTAATTAATTAATTAATTAATTGTATTTCAGCATCACATACAGCTACTTCTTTGTTCTTTTTTAGACACTCGAAATTCAATAGCAGCTGCTAATAATTCTATTTTTTGTATGTGTCATTTAGAATTTTCCCAGTGATTTCCCTGAAATCCCCAGAGTGGATCTTTTTTCTTCTGGATCATCTTTCTCCATCTCTTTATCTATCAATCATTTTTTTTCCCTCTCATTTGAAAACTAGGAAGAAGGTCGTGGCCAAGGTTTCACTGACGGGATATATCAAGGGAAACAGCTTTTTCAGTGTGACGAAGACTGTGGAGTATTTGTTGCGTTGGACAAACTAGAAATCCTAGAAGATGATGACAATGGATTGGAAAGTGATTTTGCAGGTCCAGGGGACACAATGCAGATGGAACTTCCCCCTCTGGAAATAAACTCCAGAGTTTCTTTGAAGCTTGGAGAAACTATAGAGTCTGGCACAGTTATATTCTGTGATGTCTTGCCAGGAAAAGAAAGCTTAGGATATTTTGTTGGTGTGGACATGGTAAGAAACTTTTGGAGTATATTATCTTTATGGGTATATCTATTTTATGATCAATTTTAGGTACAAATTAAGCACTTTGAATATTTAAAATGGACTAATTTGGAGTAACTTAAAAACATCTTCTAATTTATCTTTGGTAAAGGAACATGGATATGGGACAGGAGTCTAAATACAGAGTTGCACTTAGTCTTTTTTACAATTTGAATAAACTGGAATAATGTTTCAGTCCTTAAATTTGCTCTATGATAGTTGACCAATAAACAGAAAAAAACAAACCCCACCCAAATGTGTTATCTGAGGTCTTATTTTTCTTTATCCTGCAAAGGTGGTTTTTTTCCCCCCTAATCTGTGATTCTCTTTTTATGGTATTTTGCAAAATCTTACTGGCTGATCTGATTTTAATGAGTAGTGTAAACATCATTTATGGAAAATATGTATATTTTCCATAAATTGTATGGAAAATATGTGCATGGAGGAAGAGCACATTGCTTTAGAGGAAAAGATGATTGGAGTATCTCCTTATTTCTTTTCATTGTGGTTAAATACATGTAACAAAATTTACCATTTTAACCATTTTTAAACTTATAGTTGCATGGCATTTAATTTCATTCACATTGTTGTGCAACCATCACCCCTATCTCCAGAGCTTTTCATCATCCCATACTGGAACAATGTCCACATTAAGTGTTAACTCCCATGACTCCTCTCAGCTAGTGTTCTGCTGGTAGCCAGTATTCCACTTTCTGTCTCTGTGAATTTACCTTTTCTAGGTACCTCGTGTAAGTGGAATCCTACAGTATTTGTCCTTTTGTTCATTGTTTTATGTCATTTTTAATGTTACCTTGCAATCATATTTGTTCATAACGGAAACATTATATGACAAGTTGAATGTTACCTGTGGGCATTCAGAGAGGGAGAAGAAAGAGCCTGAGAACATTTTTATTGCAGATTGGAACTATGGACAAGAGTTTGTTAGGTAGAAAGAAGTAACTCATACAGAATTATTAAACACTAGAATGAGTTAGGAGAGATCATGACTAATAGACTCTTGTCTCATGATGGGTTTAGTGATTCTTTTTATCTACTCAGGCATACTTTTTGGGAGGGTATGAATGTTCTAGCATCAGTTTATTTTGTGCTTGGAAATTCTAGGAGATTCTATTTGATACCCTTTAGTTCGACAAACATTACTATGTTGTTTAGACAAACATTTACTGAACATTTGCCACGTGAAAAGTTAGAGACTTAGGACCACACTATCCTGTGTGGGTCCCTCAGGATAGCGAATGATAAAGCACACCTTTAATATTTACTTAGAGGAGAGATTGTGAGCTGGGTAGAGGGAGGGTTGGAGAAAGAAGGCCATTGGTCATTGGGGTTAGTTTCTCTTGCTTCAGGCATCTGGGCCGCGTACTTGGTAAAAGCCCTGTAGGCCTTCCCCCACTTCTTAGATGGCAGTCCTGAGGATCATCTTGTTTACTCGGGGCAGGCTGCCTAGAGCTTTGCCCCACCAGCTTCTCCCCCGCCTCTGTCTATCCTTCACTTGGCCTGTGCAACCGTACATTCCAAACCCCACTAGTGTGCTCTTTGAAAGGAAAGTTCTGGCAAATGCAGTATTCTTCATCTCCATCTGTTTCCGATGACAGCATGTTGTACACATTGGTGCTCAGGGCAGTTGTCTGACTGGCTCATCTCTTAATCTAGCTCGGTGAACAGCACTGTACTACTTGGTGTTACATTGGAATATAAAAGAATTGAATGTAAAAATCTATTTCAGAGGGAATTCTTGCATAGCCCTACAATGTCAAAAGAACAATAAAAAATAGATATTCTATGTATAGAATGGCATACAGGGGTTCAAATGGAATACTTAAGTGCTCAGGGAGTGTAGGAGTGATTAGAACAAGCTAGGCTTAATTGGGGGCAGATTTCTGGGTGAAACAATGTATTGTTAATAAGTCTTCCTATGCAAATGGGTGTTACCGTGTAGACTAGCATCTGTTGTCCAGTAAAGTATGACCAATACTTTGAATTTCTTGCTCATCTATGAGCTTACTATAACTTGATTACTCTTGGATCTCATTTTTACCAAAACAAAAACAAAAACCAAATAAACAAAAACAAACCAAAAACTTTATTACTGTGGCAATTATTTCTGATACATTCTTTTCTCTTTTAGGAAAAATTGTTAAAATTGGCTAGTGTAAAATCTTTTGGAAGATCCTTTTCTGGAAAATAGAGATTTTCATACTATGTTTTATTGAGAAGGGTTTACAACTTTATTCTATTACTTAATTTCTAGGATAATCCTATTGGGAATTGGGATGGCAGATTTGATGGAGTGCAGCTTTGTAGTTTTGCAAGTGTTGAAAGTACAATTCTCTTGCACATCAATGATATCATCCCAGGTATGTTTTCTTTGTGTTTTGTATATTATATATTTTATGTATATTAATATAAGGCAGAGTTTCTAAGCTGTATTTTGTTTTGGGGATGTAAATATAAACTTCAAGATGCACTTTTGGAACTTGACTTTTTATATTATGGAATTGCTATTAAATAGAATATCCTTTCTTACCCCCAAGTGAAGACAACACTTACAGATTTTTATTTCCAAAAGTAGGTGAGTGTGGCTTGGCATTTATACATTATCATTAACTTTTCATCACCTGGTTATTCTAAGTGGGAGGAAAAAGCCCTTTCTGATCATTAGAAGGGTCAGATAATATGAGTGAGAAGCTGGTTTTAAACCAGAAGGCTTTAAGCAGAAGTTGGTCATGTAATATGATCTGATCTGCTGTGGAGAGGATTCTTGCTGGATGCCCTATGAGATTTCTCCCAGTTTTGAGACAGTGTAATTGATCAGACTTCATGGCTGTATAGTCAGAAATCGATCCCTCATCTTTACACCTTAAAAAAAAACATTAAGGAGCGCCTGGGTGGCGCCATTGGTTGTGTCTGACTCTTGGTTTTGGCTCAGGCCATGATCTCAGGGTTGTGTTGGGCTCTGCTCTCAGCATGAGTCTGCTGGAGATTCTCTCTCTCCTCCTGTGCCCCTCCAGCTTGTGCTCTCTCTCTTTCTCTCTCACTCTCAAATAAGTAAGTAAATCTTAAAAAACAAAACAAAACCAAAACCAAAACCCAAACCATCAAGCAACCTTTTATTTTACCTCAAACATGGGGCATCTAACAGCTGCTGTCAACTAATTAATAAATTCCTTGATGGAGAAATCAACAGCATCTTCCCCCTGCCTTTAGTAGAATTCCATTTACAGGCTAGTCAGCTGATAGTATGTTAATCATGAACTGACAGGCATTCAGAGGTGGTGCTTTTTATTGAGCATTATGCAACTATGAATAAATGTCAGAAAGCCTACATTCAGTAGCCACCAATGTATGAATCCATGAATTAGATGACTTGTACTTCTTTACATTTCCTGATAAATTTATAAGGTCTTAATTATTCCCATTTTGCTGATAAAAAACTGGGGCTTAGCCAGGACTAAGATTGGCTAGGATTCAGTTAGTGGTAGAGCCAGAATTCAAATCCAGACCTGTCTGATTATAAAGCTCTGCTCTTTTTAGTACCTCCTCACCCCACATCCTGTGTGTACACTTTGGATGTGAAGACTTGCATAGAAAAGCATACTTCTCAGCCTCAGATGGATACTTGGGAATATTGTTTCCATGGAGATGTATTTTTTCTCTAATTCTATAAAAGCTGAATTTTCCTATAGCAGGGATCATAACTGAACAAAATGATTTTTCTGCTTCCAGTGTTTTTCCCTTCTTCCTAAATTTGACACAGAACACTTTTGAGTTCCCCACAGGTCATTTCAGGTCCTCAGTATCTTTTTTGTAAAAATGAAGGGGCTAATGCTAGATTATCCTTAGGATTCCTACTAGCCTGTGCTGTTTGCCCTTCCTGTTCCCTGTTGGCTTGGCAAGTAATAAATGCTTGTTTCGCTGAGTTGGGAAGTGCTTTCTGCTTTAGCTTTTAGTTTTACAGCAAGAGTACGTTAATTTAATTGGGGGTGTGGGATTCAAATAATAGCTTTATTTTGATTTTGCTTTGTAAAAGTCTGACATACTTGGCTTTTCTTGATTTTAGACCGAACATTCCTATACCTACCACCTAGATTAATAAAATGGACATTTTATTGTACATGTGGTGTATATGGGCCAGTTTAGTCCCCCCTCCCCCAGATAGTTACCCAGTTGTCCCAACATCTTTTGATTAAAAAGTTCATTTTTGGGGTGCCTGGGTGGCTCAGTCGCTTAAGCGTCTGCCTTCGGCTCAGGTCATGATCCCAGAGTCCTGGGATCGAGCCCTGCATTGGGCTCCCTGCTTGGTGGGGAGTCTGCTTCTCCTTCTCCCCGCATGCTTTCTCTCTTCTTCTCTCTCTCTCGGATAAATAAAATTTAAAAAAATTTCATCTTTTCCTACTCCTTTGAGATGCCACTTTGACCATACTCAATTCCCACATATACTATGATGTATTTCTGGACTTTCTATTCTGTCTGCTCATGCTTCATTCAGTACCACATTGTTTTTAATGATTCTTTATAATATGTTTTTGTATGAGCACTAGTCTTGCCTCATTGCTCTTCTGAATTTTCCTGCTATTCCACATTGTCTTCTAAAAGGTTAATAGATACATTTAAGTCTGTAATCCACCTGGATTTAATTTTGTGTAGGATGTGAAGTACACATACCCAATCTGATCTACCATGCTTGCTGCGTATAAATCCAGTTTCAACATACTATATACATGGATCTCTTTCTGGGCTCTACTCTTTCCCTACGCTAAGACCTTTAGGCCTTCATTACCCTAGCTTGACAAGAAGCCTTCTAGCTGTAAGACTACAGTTCTCCTCCTGTTCTTTTTTCGTAGTGAGTGTCTTGGCTGTTGTTGGCCCATGCCTCTTCATTGTCACTTTAACAGTCGGCTTCTCAAATATTATAGGAGAGTTCCATTGGGATTTTGATCGGAACTGTAGTTAACCTGTAGAGTCACTTGAGGAGAACTGACATTTTTATCATATTGAAATTTCTAACGCATGAACATTGCATTACCTTTCATTTATTTAATCTCTTTTTAGTAAAACTGTGTTAAGTTTCTCCATTTCTTGCATGCATTCTGATACGTTACAAAGTAAAACCTATTTTCTAATAAGTTTTTGTGATATATAGAAATACAATCAACTTTAAAAAAAACAGTTGTATTGAAATCTAATTCATATACCATATAATTCCTTCATTTCAGTTGTACCGTTCAGTGTATTTTAGTATATTTACAGATACATGGGGTCATCACTATGATCAGTTGTAGAACACTTCCGTCACCTCACGAAGAAACCCTGTACCTTTTAGCTATCCCTCCACTATCCCTTCCTTCTCCTTAGTCCTAACCGACCGCTAATCCACTTGCCGTCTCTGTATGTTTATCTGTTCTGGACATTTCATAGAAATAGAATCATATAGCATGTGGCCTTTTGTGACTGGTTTCCTTCACTTAGCCTGATGTTTTCAAGGTTCATCTGTGTTGTAGCACGTGTCAATACTTTATTCCTTTTTATGCCCGCATCATATCCCATCGTATGGATGTAGCACACTTTGTGTATCCATTTGTTGATGGACACTTGAATTCCCTCCATTTTTCGCTATATACAGCTCTGCTCCAACATTCATGTACAAGTTTTGTGTGGATGTTTGCTTTTGTTTTTCTGGGCATATATCTGGGAGTGGAATTGCTGGGTCATTTGGTAACTCTGTCTTTAATCATTTGTGGAACTGTCAGACTCTTTTCCAAAGCAGCTGCACGACTTTACATTCTTACCAGCACCGTGTAAGAGTTCTGACTTCGTCACACCCTTGCCAACATTTATTATTATCTGAGTTTTTGGTCCTGCCCATCCTAGCGAGCATGTTATCTCAGTTGGCTTGTGTCTGCTGAGTTTTGTTGCAAACAGTCTTATTAAAATCTCATTAAATTCTCAGTTTACCCATACATTACTTTTTTAATAACCAGTCATTATCACCTGCAAATACTAATAGCCTAACTCCTCTTTTCAATCCTTGTGTCTTTTATTTTTAAAACATGATCTTGCTGTCCCAGCTCTAAGAACCTTTTAGTACATACTGAATAGAAGTGGTCATATCAGCCATCTTGGTCTTGTTCCTGCTCTCAAAGGGAGTGCTTTCAGTGTTTGAACTATTAAGTGTGATCTTTGCCCTAGGATTTTATTGTTGCAGCCATCATTTATCAGGTTTGAGAGGTTACCTACTGTTCCCTGTTTTCTAAGAGTTTTATCATGAATGGATGTTGAAGTTTATCAAACTTTTTTGTCTGTTGACATAATCTTGTATTTCTTTTCTTTTAATCTAATTTCCTAATATTATTTTTTTTAAAGATTTTATTTATTTGAGAGAGAGAGAGAGAGCACATGAGAGGAGGGAGGGTCAGAGGGAGAAGCAGACTCCCTGCTGAGCAGGGAGCCCGATGCGGGACTTGATCCTGGAACTCCAGGATCATGACCTGAGCCAAAGGGAGTCGCTTAACCAACTGAGCCACCCAGGTGCCCCTAATTTCCTAATATTAAATCAGCCTTACATTTCTGTTGTAAATCTAACTTCATCATATTCATAGATTGCTTGGTCCAGTTTACTAATCTGCATGTGTTTAAAAAATCTTAAAAACAAATTGTAAAAATAGCTTGTATTTAAATTTAAAATTTTTTTTAATAGTGGTAAAGTGCACATAACATTTACCATCTTAACCATTTTTAAGTGTACAGTTCAGTGGCATTAAGCACATTCATCTTGCTACCGTTCATCTCTGCAAGTTTTCATCTTGTAAAACTGAAACTCTACACCCATTCAACAGTAACTGCTCAGCCTCTGGCAGCTTCTTAATCTACTTTCTGTATCTATGATTTTGACTATTCTGAGTATCTCATATAAGTGGAATCATACAGTATTTGCCTTTTTATGACTGGCTTTTTTCACTTAGTGTAATGTCCTCAAGGTTCATCCCTGTTGTTACATGAGTCAGAATTTCCTTCATTTTCACGCTACATAATAGTCCATTGTATATGTATATGCCACATTTATCTGTTTATCTCTTGTTGGACACTTGAGTTTCTTCCATGTTTTAGCTGTTGAGAATAGTGCTGTTCTGAACATGGGTGTAAAAATATCTCTTTGAGATCCTGTCTTCAGTTCTTTTGGGGATATACCCAGAAGTGGAATTGCTAGATTATATGGTAAATAGATTTTTAATTTTTTGAGGAACTACCACAAGGTTTTCCACAGTGCCTGAACCATTTTGCATTCCCACCAACAGTGCACAAGTTTTTCAGTTTCTCCCCATCTTTGCCAACATTTATTTTGTTTTCCTGATAATGG